GGATCCGGCGTTTTTTACACTCTGACGATGTCAGTAGTTTGGCTGATGAAAGCTTAATACTTTTTGTAGATTAAACAGCTTTGGTTTAAGATTTTTATCCTGGTGTTCAGATACTTTAATACACACACACACACACACACACACACACACACACACACACACACACACTTTCTGGCATATAACCTGTCCTGCAGTGTTTTATATGCTTATCAAAATGGCTCTTCATCTAATCAGAATAAGTATCTACTAGCATTCCTTAAGCAAAGTTACAAATGCAAAGTTAGCCTGCATACCTAACAACTGTGTGTCTAATATATATTATTCATCAGACATATAAATCTGTGCACAGGTACAGATAACTGACTGTGTGTTCTGCGCATTAGTAAATTAAATTTCTTTTTATCTGTGTAATAAATAATATTCTGTATCATGGTGGTGCTTGAATTCTAAGGCACGATGAGGCAAAACTATTTTTCATTAGCAATAGTTTGCTAATTTTTAATTTCTGTTTGCCAAAATTTATTTTCCACTGATGATTTTATGTAGGTTGTATACTTTGCTAGCTCACTGTAACTGCATATCCTGGATGATAAAGAGCACTTTTATAATAGAGTTAAGACCTCATTTTAATGCCAATGGCTGCTTTTAATGATCTTCAGAATTTCTTCAGCTCTAAAGCATTCTACATTACATTTGATAGATATTTCACTCTTTATATTACGTAAGAAATGACGGGTTGGTCACCAAATCCATAGGGATATGGGATAGACCAGGGCTTTTCAACCTTTTCACCCATTGTACACTTTTAGGATACTCATCAAAGATAGAAGCAACCTGGAACTAAGGAGAAATTTCCTGACAGTTAGTACCACCAGTCGCCTAGCAAGGTGTCAAAAACCTGATGACCAAAAAAAAAAAAGGAAAAAAGTGATAAAAGTACAGGTAGTCCTCAACTTACAACAGTTCGCTTAGTGACTGTTCGAAGTTACAGTGGCACTGAAAAAAGTGCCTCCCAAGGCACAGCCGAGCAAGACACCTGCCTGCCCACCTGGCTGCGCTCTTCCTCCTGTCTGAGGTTTTCACTGTTGTGAGCATTTCTGTTGAGGATTGGCAGCAGGGGTGGGGTGGGGGTGTTTGGTTTTTATTCCCCCCATCTGCTGGGTGGTTGTAGCAGGTTTTGGTCACTTCACATGACCCTGGGACACTGTGACCATCATAAATATGAATCAGTTGCCAAGCATCTGGATGTAAATCACAAGACCCTGGAGATGCTGCAACATTCCAGCTGATCGGCGCTTCTTCTGGGCTCAGCAGAAGCACCAGGAGCAGTGCTGCTTTCCAGCTGATTGGTGCTTCTTCAGGGCTCAGCAGAAACACCAGGATCAGCCCCGAGCTATAGCTGGAGCCTGGCGCTGATCCTGATGCTTCCGCTGAGCCCTGACAGCCCTGCAGCTCCAGCCATCTCTCGCTCAGGCTTGTGCGGTGCTGCCACTGGTTCAGCTCATTCCCCTTCCCCGCTACCACTTTTCTAGGATGGTTGCGTATCACCTGCTAGGTGCCAATGTGCCATAGGTAGTACCCATACCACTGGTTGAAAAGGCCTGGGATAGACTACCAAATTGCATTATATTACTTTAAAAATTGATACTACCCAATTCATACTTTTTTCTGGCCATACCATCACCTTTCATTATTATTTATTATTTATTACTATGGGATGCCAGCTTCCTTCCAAAACAGCTCATAATAATCTTAAAGAGGCAAATTTATTTTAATAAGCTTTTAAGGTATCTCTTTTGAACCTTGTACCTCCAGGATGTATTGGAATTGAAACTCTCAGTACTTCCAGATTATATCAGTTGCCAAGCTCTAGGTCAGGGCTTTTCAACCAGTGGTATGGGTACCACCTGTGGTACATTGGCACCTGGCAGGTGGTACATGACCATCCTAGAAAAGTGGTAGCGGGGGAGGGGAATGAGCTGAACCAGTGGTAGCACCGCACAAGCCTAAGTGAGAGATGGCTAGAGCTGCAGGGCTGTCAGGGCTCAGCGGAAGCACCAGAGTCAGTGCCGCTTTCCAGTTGATCGGCACTTCTTCAGGGCTGTCAGAGCTCAGTGAAAGTGCCAGGATCAGCGTCAGGCTCCAGGTGGTGCTCGTCGCTGATTCTGGTGCTTCTGCTGAGCCCAGAAGAAGCGCCAATCAGTTGGAATGTTGCAGCATCTCCAGGGTCTTGTGATTTACATTCAGATGCTTGGCAAGTGATTCATATTTATGACGGTCACCGTGTCCCAGGGTCATGTGAAGTGACCAAAACCTGCTGCAACCACCCAACAGACGGGGGGAATAAAAACCAAACACCCCCACCCCGCTGCCAATCCTCAACAGAATTGCTCACAACAGTGAAAACCTTGGACAGGAGGAAAAGTGCCGCCGGGCGCTGTCTTGCTCGGCTGTGGCTTGGGGGGCACTTTTTTCAGTGCCATTGTAACTTCAAACAGTCACTAAGCGAACTGTTGTAAGTCGAGGACTATCTGTACCTTATCACTTTTTCCCTTTTTTTTTTTTGGCCAAGTTTTTGACACCTTGCTAGGCGACTGGTGGTACTCGGATGTTGTCATATCCTAAAAGTGGTACAGTGGGTGAAAAGGTTGGAAAGCCCTGCTCTAGGTTATGGAATTCTACTGTAAAGCTGAGAAAGAAAGGGACTCTATTTATCCCTTTCAGTATATTTCAGAACCAAAACCTGGGAATGTCAGATCAAAGTCAGCAATGCATAGAACATTTAAAACGAGAATGTTCTCCAGGAAATTGATTTTGACATTTCTGAGGTTTTTAATTGTAGTTATGCTTTAGATTAGAAAAGGGCAGCATGAAATCCACCAGGCAACACTAAGGAGATGATGATGGTGATGATACAATCAAAGCAATGCGTAATGTACAGAACAATAATAAAAAGGGGTTATTTAAGACTTATATAATAAAAGCAATAAAAGGATAACTCCTAATGATTGGACTCGCAATCTAAACATCTAAAGCCCCATATTCATCCATTTTAAATATTATCCAAATTTTTAAAATTTCTTTTTAAAATTAAGAAATGCAATTATCTTCAATTCCAACAGTATATGTAGTGAATTTCTAATATACTTAGTTACGTTTGCATTAATGCCTATATATTATGTTTGTCTTCTGTATCTCCTGTTGTAACAATTCAGATAGTCCTCGACTTACAACCATAATTGAGCCAATTTCTGTTGCTAAGTAAGACATTTGTTAAGTGTGTTTTGCCCCATTTTATGACTTTTATTGCCCAAGTTGTTAAGTGAATCACTGCAGTTAACTTTCCTTGTCAGAAGTTTGCAAAAAGTGATCACATGATCTCAGGACAATGCAGCTGTCATAAATATGAGTCAATTGGCAAGCATGGAGATGCTGCAGTGGTCGTAAGTGTGAAAAATGGTCATAAGTCACTTTTTTCAGTACTGTTGTAACTTTGAACAGTCACTAAATGAACCGTTGTAAGTCATGAACTACCCATTACAAATTTTACAAATGTCATATCTGATTTATTTATTGGATCTGAAGAAAGTTCTTTTTAAATCTAGATTTTAAAATTTGTTGAAAATGGGAAATGAAAAGATAAAGCTGCAGGACAGTAACGTGGTGATTACCTAAGAAGTTACTTTATTTTATCAGGAAGCTTTGAGTAAAATGTTGAGTCATTGTGTTGCTTCCTGTAAAGAAGAAATCTAAGAACTAACCTCTGTCTTTTTTCACTGATGCTATAATTTTTAGCTTATTTTATCAATACATGGCACATTTTACAATCAATTTTCCCTTTGTTTTTTCTTCTAATTGTGTCTTTTATCCAAGAATTCATTTGTGCTTTTACTGTTACAAGTTACAGATTCTATATATCAGTAGATTACATTTGTTTCCTATTCAAAACTTCCCATTGAACATATTTCCAAAGCTGGAAATATATTAATTTTTGCATTTTTTCCCCTCTCACCCCTTTGATCCTGGGATAAAGGAAGGGAAGGTAGGGATGTGCAAATTAATTCATACATGATCTGTTCTCTGCATAGAACAACGGGCTCTGGATGATTCGTGGCCAGTTAGAAACAAGCACGTTTGTTCTGCATGTGAACAAAACAAGGCTGATCTGATCCAGAAGCACAACAGTTGTTCTAGGCAGAAACATTTTTTGGGAGAAGAAGAACAGGAAAACTTAAATGTTGAGGGATTTCTTTAGTGATGCTAGCTGTGGGGAGCAAGGCAAGGCAAAGCATTGGGATATACTGTTCTGGGATCTACAGAGAGCATCCAGAAATAAATATACATGCTATGCAAATGAAGCAATAGCAACATTGGGCATCTTTTTTCTGAGAAAGGGAAGAAAGGGAGCAATTTGCACCAGCCTTGCAAGATCTACCCCATAACATAACTCTGATATTCATGTGCGGTTTTATTTTGGCTGAACTATAGATGATCTCAGTTATTTCTTTCTTCCTGCTTTTTTGTTTGTGTTTTGATTTTTTTGAAATTTTATTATTTGACAATGTAGGCATCCACTCCAGTGGACTCCAATAGCCTATTTTTGTTTTGCTGTTAATCACATTGTGCTGGCATTCTGGAAAACATTATACATCCGTGTATCTTAAGGAGTGAAAAATGGTGACCACTGCAAAAGAAAATAGTATTTACAGAAAGTTCTGTTATTTTTTTTTTCCTTAGTATTTCCCAGGTGAGAAATACCTCTGGAAAAAAGGAATTGTTCAACTTTATTGATAAATATTTCCCAACTTTAAAAAAAATATTTTGTGTAAAGGTGCAGATTTATATTTTTGGGAATGTATATAATGGACACATATGCAATCTTAATATAGCAATAGTAATAATACTCTTGATTTTTGACAATCTGTGATATTGCTTAGAAGTGACAAACTGTCAGAAGAGAAAGCAAACAGAAATATGACAATAATTCCCTTCTGTTGTAGAATTGTTCTCTCCTTGAAGATACTGGGATTAAATATATATCCAGCAAAACCCAGAGTATGTGGAGAAAAGACTGATTTTGAAGGAGTATTTCTTCTAGTGGTGAGATTCTTCATTAAAGAAAAATAAATTGAATAATTGAAATTATACCAGTAATCTCGGATTCTTATGCACTCCAGCACCCCTATAAGTTCTCTGTTCTCCTTCACCAGCCCAGCTGTAAAGAGGCTATTGGGCTGGAAGCAAGGAGATGAAGAGGAAAAGTGGGCAGAAAAAGCTGTGGACTCCTTGGTAAAGAAGCTGAAGAAAAAAAAAGGTGCCATGGAGGAACTGGAGAGGGCACTTAGCTGTCCTGGGCAGCCCAGTAAGTGTGTGACAATCCCACGCTCTTTGGATGGAAGGCTGCAAGTATCTCATCGCAAAGGTTTGCCACATGTCATTTACTGCAGAGTGTGGCGCTGGCCTGATCTACAGTCTCATCATGAGTTAAAACCTCTGGAATGCTGTGAATTCCCATTTGGCTCAAAGCAGAAAGAAGTCTGCATTAATCCTTACCATTATCGAAGAGTGGAAACCCCAGGTAAGTCAATTGTCTAAATGTTTAATGAAGGATAGCACTGCATTGATTGCCTATTTCATATTTCATAACTATTCTACCTGCAAAAAAGAGAAGCTGCATACAAGCCGTGATTGAAAAAAGTAGCTAGATCAAAGTAGGTCAAAGAGTTCAGTTGCAAACATTTAGTTAGGATTACTTTGGAGGATCAAGATCCTGAGATGAAAACATAAGGAGAATTCTGATGCTATACTTTATTTATTTTATTTATGAGACTTATATACCGCTTTAAGTGCAAACACTCTCTAAGCGGTGTACACCAGTAAGCAATGTATATATATATTTACATTGCCCCCAACAATCTGGGTCCTCATTTTACCTACCCCGGAAGGATGGAAGGCTGAGTCAACCTTGAGCCAGTGAGATTTGAACCGCTGACCTGCTGAACACAGTCAGCTAAAGTGGCCTGCAGTACTGCACTCCAACTGCTGTGCCACCTTGGCTCATTAATTTATTGGATGGAATGTCTGAAAATAGCGTAGCAATAATAGTAACAAGTGAATATATTAATAATAGCATTAGTGGCTCTTAGACAATGAATTCTTTACATTTAATCAGGTAGTTTTAAAAAGTATTTTTTTAAAATTTGCAGATGGGTTTAATGGTACAAACATAAGAATTTGTTCAAGAAATTCATCTTAGCCTAAATAAATTCTACCATCATATTTAACCTGATGGTTTAGTTATGTAAATTGGCCTATTGTTAATAATTTGTATACCACTTACAAAACAAAACTTTGTGTGCTTTTTAAAAGCCATTATAATACTACACTCTGGATTACAGGTGAAATATCAAAACAGATGCTTTTCATTTGCTTTTTTTGAAAATATTTTAATTATGTGTACCTGGCATGTAACTTTCTGTATGTCTTGTTCTTGTCCAAGGGGCTGAAAGTGTAAAATTCTTTTTACTTAGGACTACACTAAATGTTATTTATACAGGAAATGTATCATTGCATACATGTTCATTGAAAATCACAAAGAAAGAACTCTGTATTAGATAAGAGTAGTGGCAGAGCACTGTTTGGTTCTTAGCTTTTGTGTCTGTGTGTGACTTCAAGTCATTCTTGGTTTCAGGTGACAGCCTGGACATGTCCCTGCAGATTCCTTTAACTCTTTACCTTGTGAAGAACATCTTAATCATATAATATCACTGCAGGTCAAATGTGTATCTTATAAAATACAGATAGAAAATACACAGGGAAAGGAAGGAATCTATTATACAGTTTTGCTGCAATCCCACTAGAGTAGGAGGGAGGGGAACAGTTGACTCTCTGGATGGTGACAGATCATCTTGCTAGCTACCCAAACCAGAAAAATTACATACAGTCTCTTTGAGAACTGTGGGATTATCTCTTGTATCTTATTTCTCAGTTCTCCATATAATTTAGCAACAAACAAACCCCATGATCCTTTGATCTAAAACATGTTACTATTGTTTTGGTGACAAATTCCAAAACCTTTTAGCTGTATTGCATTCCAACATAAATGAACTCTACGGATATCAATTTTCAGTCATGCCATAAATCCTTTGCAACATCCAAATTACACAATAGATTTATTATATTATGTTTACATGTTTTTCCATGTACAAGGCAAAGACATCTTTGGTGTGCCTCAGGACTCTGTTCTCTCTCCCCTTCTATTTAAGCTGAGGCCATTGAATGAGGTGATCCGTCAGTTTGGGGTGAGATACCATCAGTATGTGATAACATCCAGCTCTATATCTCTACTCCAGGCCCCTTGAGTGATGCCATGGATGTCATATCCCAGTGTCTGGGGGCTGTTGGGAACTGAAGGAGGTGAAATGGACTCCAACTTGCAAGACAGAGTGGCTGTGGGTATTTGGACCCTCTGCAGACAAAGATCTTCCATCTATGGTTCTTGCCTCAAATAGACCCGGAGTACAATCTGGAGGTCCTCTTGGACTTGCGGCTCCTGCTGGTCCATACATGGACCAGGAAACTCTGCTCATGGTAGCTCATGTCCTTATAATCTCCATATTAGTGTACTGTACATGCTGTACATGTACAGAAATTTCAACTGGTATAGAATGCAGCCATGTGGGTAACAATGGTGCCAGATATATGGCACATATAGCACCATTCCTGCATGAGCTGCATTGGTTACAAGTATGTTTCTGGGTGCAATTCAAGGTGCTGGTGATTACCTATAAAGCCCTACCTGACTAGGAACCAGAGTACCTGAGGAATTGCCTTTTTTCTAGAGTTTCTACTTATTGAACCAGATCAAGTAGAATGGGCATGCTGCAGATCCTGTCATCCAAAGAATGTCAGCTGACAAAGACTAGAAGGCAAGCTTTTTCTGCAGCAGCCCCTGCTCTGTGGAACATCCTCCCTTCAGAGATTAGAATGGTCCCAACCCAGGCATAACCGAGCCTGGCACACTACATGCACCAAAGCTCCACCTCCTGCTATATTGTTAGCAGGTCAAAATTCTTGCTTTGAATGTATTCCAAATTAGACATTTCAATGTTTTTATAGTTTTAATGCTTTTTACCGTTTTTATTGTTTTAAAATGTTTTAAAGATTTTAATTGTAATATATGTTTTGAATTGTGAGCCATCCAGAGTCATTTGCTGAGATAGGCAGCTATAGAAAACAAACAAACAAATAAATAAATCTTCAGCTAATTTACATAACCTTCCTCAATGTGATCACACATGCCTAGATCCTCTGATAGTCATCCTTCAATTATTTCATATATTATACAAAAAGCCTCCTTTTTAAAAAGCCATTTAAAAATATATAGAGAAGAGCAACAAAGATGATTAGGGGACTGGAGGCTAAAACATATGAGGAACGGTTGCTGGAATTGGGTATGTCTAGTTTAATGAAGAGGGGGGACATGATAGCAGTGTTCCAATATCTCAGGGGCTGCCACAAAGAAGAGGGCGTCAAGCTATTCTCCAAAGTGCCTGAGGGCAGGACAAGAAGCAACGGATGGAAACTAATCAAGGAGAGAAGCAACCTAGAACTAAGGAGAAACTTCCTGACAGTTAGAACAATTAACCAGTGGAACAACCTGCCTCCAGAAGCGGTGAATGCTCCAACACTGGAAGTTTTAAAGAAGAGACTGGACAGCCATCTTTCCGAAATGGTGTAGGGTTTCCTGCCTGAGCAGGGGGTTGGACTCGATGACCTCCAAGGTCCCTTTGAACTTTATTATTATTATTATTATTATTATTATTATTATTATTATTATTACTATTATTATTCTTCAGGAAGCAGAGTCATAGCAGTACCAAGCCTAGGTGAATGAATACATCTTAAGCTGTCTGAATACTTAACAAAGCCCATGACTAATTGTAATAAAATAGGGACGGAATCCATTTTTAGTTTCTTTTGAAAAAAGAAGGTCCTCTCTTGGTCCATTGTACTACATATGATACTTATCTATGGTACCCTAAGGAGAGCCTTTCCACAAAATCTTAGTTGTTGGACAGGCTCATAAAGAATACTACCAATACCTTGAATTTTGCTCAGTAGCGCTGTGGTGCCATGAAGTATCTTCAACATCGTATGTTGGTGGGTTGTCTTTTAACTAATTTAGCAATGTAATTTTGTACTTGCTGCAGTTTTTAGCCCTAAAGTAGTGCCACAAATCTCTAGACTTGAGGTTCCAAATAAATGAGTTACTATTTCTGTTTACATGCTTGTGATCAAGCAGCTCAGAAGTAGTCTAAAATGTATTATATTGTATAATGTGACAAATGTGCCAGAACGTGAAAAATACATAGCTTGTAACTTTAGCAAGGCTATAGTTTAGAGCAGGGGTGTCAAACTCGCAACGTCATGTAATGTCACAACCTATCACGACTTTTTTTCCATTACCGGCAATGGGGTGGGCACGGTTTTGGCATGATGTATCCGGCCCGCGGGCCAGCAGTTTGACACCCCTGGTTTAGAGATAAAGCACCATATTCCAGTTTCTTTAATGTCTGTTTGAAAATTCTGCAGATGGGTAATGAGATACTTCAGCCTAAGATTTGAAAGAGTTTCTATTTTCAAAACATCTGTTCTGTTCTTTTGTTGTAGTGTTACCTCCAGTGTTGGTTCCAAGACATAGTGAATTCAACCCACATCTTAGTCTCCTTGCCAAATTCCGGAACACATCTCTTCACAGTGAGCCACTGATGCCTCACAATGCAACTTACCCTGATTCTTTCCAGCAGCCTCCCTGCACCACTTTCCCAGCATCCCCCAATATGTACTCTCAGTCATCAAGCAGTATGAGCTACCCAGACTCCCCGGGAAATTCTTCTGCACCGGGAAGTCCTTATGAGCTCACAGGTATGCAAAATACTATTCCTGAACACTAGTTGAGTGATATTGAGTCTACAGTAACTTCTTTTTAGGAACCAGAATTTTGCATCATTTTTTCCTTTTTTTCTTCTTTTTACAACCCTGTAATCCCTTAATTTGGCGTAGAGTCGGAGTGACTGAATGGAGCTAAATGTTTACTGGCTGGATGCCCTTCCTGATGCCTACGTGGAGTTGGCAGCAGATAGATAATTTTCTCTTGCGCCCTGAGAGAGAAACATCGGCTGCTACTTAGGATTGAACTCTCAACCTTCTGGATGGGAGGCAAGCGTCTTCACCACTAGGCCACCATGCCACTCTAGAGTTTTGCAAAAGAAAAACCAAAAACCCAAAACAACAGCTTTCAATTTTACCTCGTTATTACAAGTTCAAGCAATTTTGGTAATAACAGTTGTGTTACTCTGAGAATTTGAGTTAAAGAGTGGCATTTTTTTAATATTTATTCCACAGTTTTTATAGCTCAACTAGCTCTAAAGACTCTGTAGAAGTTGCAACATATTGACATTATAAAAGCAACAATTGAAAAAAAGATGAAATTGGTAGTAATAAAAAATAATGCTATGAAAAATTATTAAAGAGACCCAGCTTAGGGTAGTAAAGATGTTAAACTAGGAGCCAAGGAAACTTAGTTATTTTAATCACAGAAGCTCCCTGGTTGACTTTGAGTGACTTACTCAGCCCAATCTACTGTATTTCACAGGGGAGTGTTTGTGTTGTGTGTGTGTGTGTGTGTGTGTGTGTGTTGGAAATTGTAACAGAGAAACTGGATTCTTTGTGGTGTATTTGTGTATAAAATAAAATCATTTGTAAGCATCCAATCTAATGTAATACAATGTGTTAGTAAATATTTATGCTTCAGTCTCTGAAGCCTTTTCTTTGTATTTATATAGGCATGCTATGAAATATCAAGCCCAGCATTGTTTTCTTTTTCTTAGCTGATACACCTCCTCCACCTTATAATGCCAGAGAAACACCACGAAACCACAATGGATGTCCTGTACATGCAGTTATAGACAGTCCATTAGTGCTGTCATTGCCCAATGGAGGTAAATCTACTGATGGAGAACCTAAAAGTATGTAAAGACTTGTATTTTTTTCCATAGAGGGAAGGACTTGGCCCAGACCTGATTGGTAGGCCATGAACTATTCAATCTTCATCCAAAGAGATCCTTAACCAAATACTTCCTCTTGGTAGAGTCAGACCAGAATGGTCTTCTATTGATTTGATTTGAATATTGATGGTATTGTTGAAGATTTGAATGATTTAACTCTGAGTTAGGGGAAAAATTGTCACAGGAAATTCAAGAAAGTAACTACTAGTGATACATGGGTTTATTTTATTTATGCAACTTTTATCCCTCTTCAATTCATTTTTACTCTAAGTAGTTAGAGCAGGTTTACTCTTAATTCTTTACATAGTTAATAATTTGATTTACATAGTTTTCCATTTTTTCCAACTTATGATTGTTCTGCTCTATTTCTGCATTTTTTGTAATTGTTTAAAAACATTGCCCCCCATTTGTATCTACTTTCATGCATTCTCAATATGCAGATTATATATATATATATATATATATATATATATATATATATATATATATATATATATATATATATCCTTTCACAAATATTTCCCCCATCTATTTTTCTTTTACACATCTTGTTGAGCTATATCACAATTCACAATACTGCAAGTGTTATGTAGTATAATTTTAATTTGGCTTGTGTATAGATTTTGAAAATTCAAATTTAAAAAGTCTATATTAAAATTTAGATTTTATTACTTTTGTCTGGTGTACTCTACTAGACACTAGTAACTGGTAACATTTTTAAGCAGTTTCTATGTGGTACACAGTAAGTAGGATACATACTTAATATGAAAACAGAGAAAATAAGTTGCTAGAGCAGTGTTTCTCCACCTGTGTGGATGGCTTGCTGGAGAATTCTGGGAGTTGAAGTCTACTTGCCAAGGTTGAGAAGGACAGTGTTAAAGAAAGGTCTCCTGAAAAAGGTATAAAGAACTCTGTTGAATCAAGTGCAGAATCATCATCATTGGTTTTGCAGCCAGTATGCAGCTATCTTCTCCATGGATTTGTTCAGTCGCTTTTTAAACCTATCTACTTTTTCTGCCCTTGAATATTACCTAGATTTGTGTGTGCCAGAGTGCTATTTCATTTGATAGCAACACATTCCATAGTTTATGCCTTATACAAAGAAACACATCTGCCATTCATTCCTGAATATCCCAGCATTTTATGTCAAGATATGACCCAGATTTTCTAATATTGTAAAAGGATGAAAAACTATCCACATTTTCCACACCATCTATAATCTTATATAAGTTAATCATATTTTATCTTAATCGTATTTTGCCCTTGCTTGCCTTACTTTTGAACTTAAAAACTTAAAGTTATCATCTTTCCTTGAAGAATAAATATGCAAGGCCACAATAGTTTAATTCTTTCCTTCACTTTTACAAGGTCAGTAATGTCTTTTTAGATGAGAACAGCAGTTAAAATGTAATACACAGTATACAGAATATATAGTAGTCCAGCACTGGTGAACCTTATGCCAAAAATTCATAAATGCCTAACTTGACTGCTTGCATATGTCATACATACACATCAAACAAAAGAGAAACAATTCTGTACATATTTACTTATAATTAAATGCACTTGTGCACACAAATGCAAAAGCTGATTTCACTCAATCACTGATAGTGTACCCATTTTGGAGACTGTAATCACAGTTGTCTTCTGCATTTGTTCCTTGAAAATGAGCTTTGCTGTGCAAACAACTACCCTGTGCAATGGTTGGAAGACAACTGAACTGTACAACTGCCATATTCCTATCATATTTTGCAAGCTGCTGTCTCTTTCATGTCATCTCCAGTCACAAATATGAAGATAACATAATGTCCTGATATGGATGGTGAGAATACATTTTAAGATTTGAGTGGTGCAGGGTTGCATAGTTCTTGTATTTATTTTTGTTCAGTTTCTTTGGCAACTCAGACAAAGAGAAAAACTGTTGTCAGGTGTTGGTGAATGCTGATTCGTCACCCAAAACATCATCGTGTATCATCACTGAAACATGTGTCGTAGATTCACCATTACTGGTTTAGTCACGCTACTTAAATATGGATATCATTAAATTAAAATGTATATTTAGTCCTTTTCCTTAACCAGTTTCATTGTTATTGTGCTTCTTTCTACATTTCTGTTGTATCTTCTTCATCTGTGAAATTTTCTTCCAGACTTCCGACCTGTTTGCTATGAGGAACCGCAGCATTGGTGTTCAGTTGCATACTATGAACTTAATAACAGAGTTGGAGAGACTTTTCAGGCCTCTTCTCGAAGTATACTAATAGATGGCTTTACAGATCCTTCAAACAATAAGAACAGATTTTGCCTTGGATTGCTGTCCAACGTTAACAGGAACTCTACTATAGAAAATACCAGAAGGCACATAGGAAAAGGTAACAGCACATTCCTTCTGCAATAATAAGAAACACTGCTTGGAAGCACTTGGGTTCAGAAAACTGTTGAGTTCAAAACCGTGTTTCTAAAATGTATATTACTAGTAGTCCTTGACTTACAACCAAAATGGAGTCCAAACTTTCTGTTGCTAAGCCAGACAGTTAAGTGAGTTTTGCCCCATGTTACAACCTTGAATCGTGAATCACTGCAATTGTTAAATTAGTGACAAAGTGGTTAAGTGAATCTGACTTCCCATTGACTTTGCTCGTCAGAAGATCACAAAAGGGGATCACATGAGCCTGGGACACTGCAACCGTCATAAATGAGCCAGTTGCTAAGCATCTGAATTTTGATCATGTGACTATAAGGATGCTATAACAGTTGTAAGTGTGAAACTGGTCATAAATCACTTTTTTCAATGCTGCTGTAACTTTGATCAATCACTAAACAAAAAGTTGTAAGTTAAGGACTACCTGTATTATTTTAATTTACTAATTAATTTACTATATTAATGAATGCCCTGACTATGCATTTATGATAACAATAAAAAACGAAGTATAAATATATAGTATAAGTATAAAAGAAAGTAAATATAGTTAAAGCTTGAAGTTAAGTGTTGAAAATGTTTACCAAAAAATAAATTAATGCTTTCTTATCTACATTCCACATGAAACGCAGAAATTGGAAAAACAGGGGGCTCAAAAAAAAAATGTCTAATTAGAACAGAGGTGTCAAATTCAATTTCATTGAGGGCCGCATCAGCATTGTGGTTGCCCTCAGGGGGCTAGGTGGGTGTGGCCAGGGTGGATGCAGCCTACTGGGTGGGTGTGGATGGAGTGGGTGTGGCCTACTGGATGGGTGTGGCCAACTCTACATCATTTGCATCAAGGGTGCCTATGGGAGCCTGGACAGGAGTGGGATTGATCTGAGGGTCTTTGGCAGAAAGGGGTGGGACCGGGGCAAGTGCCAAGGCATGGTCCACTGGAGGAGCCTCACTGTTCCTCTCAGGCCATGTGAGGGGGGCTTATGGAGCTAAGACTAAATGCGTTTCAGCATAGAGGGCCACCACAAAATTGTACATTGGCTCCCGGCTGGCCTGGACCAGGGCCAAGGCAGTGGGGGCGTTCCCTCACTGTTTCCAGGATGGCTTTGCGGGCCACATGAAACCACTGGGCCTTGTGTTTGACATGTCTGAATTACAACAAAGAAAATATAATTTTGTTGCATTTAAACATAAGCACAGGGTAATTTATGTGTAACCTGTACAGGTGTATATAAGCTGTAATTTGGTGATTCCCTTTCATTTGACTCTTGATGTCCCCAAGGACATCTATATAGAGTAAGTTTCATAGTAATATCATAGAGGGGCTTAAACTTGTCTCTTATAGGATTGTTATTATTTGTCAATTTAGTCTTCAGGAACTAAAAGAACTTTGCTAGTGGCCTTCTACCAAATACAAGCTAGGCCTGATCTTGCTTAGTATGGGGCATTAGTCAAGAATGACAAGGTGCTGCCAGCCTTTGTAGAATTGCATAAAAGAAGTTTAAGTTATGGACAGAATCATTAGCAAAATTCCAGAATGGACCCTTTAGCTTTACTTACAGTATAGAAAGTCCTTTCACAAATTGTTATCTGATTGTAATGTTTAATGCAACCAAACAGGAAGATTAGCATATAGTATATAATTATCACATTAGCTATATTTAACAATTAATGTAATATAATGTAATAAATTACTCATCCTGATACCATTCTGCCCTGCCCGCTTTGTAGCATAGCATCTAACATAGCAGCCAAAGTCTAAGTTTGGACTCCACTGCAGTAAAAAAAAGATGTAACTCTTTAGGAAGGTCACTCTGAATGTCTTACAATTTGGTAAGAAGCTTTTCTGCGGACTGTAAAAAAAAAATCAGTGAAATGTTTACTGTTGTATTAAGAACAGATTTCTAATAAATTTTTGTTCACGGAAGAGAGGATGAGGTGTATGAGCAGGAAAAATATTATTATAGTCACACTTGGGGAAGGGAACAGAGAGTGAAAGTGGTCTGATCAGCAAGAGTTTCAAACAACCAGAATTTTTATTAAGCCTAAGCTTGGCTTAGAGTTGCATAGATAGAAATGGGTTCCAACACCAACTGGGAGTACTTTGCTATCTATAGAAGGAATTCATAAAAAGGAATCCATACAGCTAAAGCACTTTCTTTGGGATTCAGTTTTAAGATTGCTCATCCTGCCAGTTTATGCATGTTCTATCCATCACATAATAATGCCATATTGTTAGTATATCATAAAAAAATAACATAGGGATTTTAAAAAAAGAGTTACAAATCTTGCTTTAATCTATGTTGAAGATTAGATTATACTTGGCTACCTCTTTTTTCTTAAAGGTGTTCACCTGTATTATGTTGGGGGAGAGGTATATGCAGAGTGTGTGAGCGACAGCAGCATTTTTGTACAGAGCCGCAACTGTAACTATCAGCATGGTTTCCACCCAGCCACTGTCTGCAAAATCCCCAGTGGATGCAGCTTGAAGATTTTCAACAACCAACTCTTCGCTCAGTTGCTTGCCCAGTCAGTTAACCATGGCTTCGAGGTGGTGTATGAGCTAACCAAGATGTGCACCATCCGGATGAGCTTTGTTAAAGTAAGAACTTTCTTTGGTTTTGATTGTGAAATTGAAAAAGTTTAATAGGCCTCTTTGTTACAAGAACATTTTAAAAGATACAAAGCTTGGAATGGATGAATGGATGGGATATGCTAAATTTTGTATCTTCATAATACTACACAAGTAAGTGAAAAATTATCAGAATTATTTGTAATTTGTGACACGGTTTTATCACTAGGCGTAGTCTCTTCAATTAGGATTCATTTCACACAAGAGGGAATGAAAAAGGATTACTAATTTACTCATGCAAAAAAATTATTGGAAATGTACTTGCACTGGGCTACTCTTCTGATCCATGTTTGGGTTTCATTAACAATTATCACCAGGTCCTTCAATTCAGAATCAGGCAAATCTGATTTTTGCCTTTCCCAGGCCTTCTTCAAGAGGCTTCTTCTAGCTCCCTCATTATGATTATGTTTCTTTGATGTCATAACCAGGATTTGAGTATATAGGGCAGGGGTGTCAAACTTGTCATGTGACATGTTGTGACTTACCAAGTGGGCGTAGCTTCTGCGTGACGCATCTGGCCCGCAGGCCGCAGTTTGACACCCCTAATATTACAAAATTCTTGTGCTATTTTACTAAACTAGACTGCCTTGTAAAAGATGTAATGGCAATTTTCTTTTTGGCTTATCTGAATAGCCCATTATTTCTTCCAGATTGTGTGCAAAAGTAGAAAAATTCCAAGACTAAAATCCATATATGTGATCCTCAGAATCTTTGGGATATGGGATCAGTGGTGGGATTCAGATATGTGAACAACTGGTTCTCTGTGTGGATGCCACTTCCGGAAGTCCATTCTGGGTCTGGGCAACAAAAAATTAGCTACCCATTCTGCCAAACTGGTGTGAACTGGCTGAATCCCATCACTGCATGGGATTATCAGAACTGGAGATGTGCTAAGATAATTTATAAAGGCTATTATTACATTCTTTCTTGGGAGTGAAGCCTGCTATACTCAGATTTTTTTTCCAAATAATCAAGGTTAGAATATTGCTCATGATTTCATTGCTGTTATAAATGAAAAGCAAATGCATCCTTTGGTGTTCTTTTAGCTGATAGTACTTCTGTGTGTTTATCCAATTTCAGCCTTTAATTCAAAAAGAGATATGCTTCACTCTTTAAACAGAGACAATATTAATCACACATATTTAACTTTTTGTTTGAATCTGCTCTGACCCTTGCACTCACCGAAAATGTTATGTGTATCATCCAGTCAAAGTTGTGCATTTTTGTGGTATTTGTAGGTTGATGGGTTTGGGGTTTTTTGTTTGTTGTTTTGTTTTTTTGGATTAGCCTGTAAAATGCAATTAGCAAAGGCAATTTGATTTTTGCCTACTTAGTCTGAATCCTGCAAATCCTGGAAACACCATACATTTGCATCTTATGAATAAAACATTTTATAGTTAGTAACTTGAAGCTGCTTTTTTGTTAGTAAACAAAAAGAGAAACTTTGCAAGAGACCTCCCTAAGAATGTATGCAGTTAAACTTTGATAAAAGCTAGATTTGAATGAAGATACATAATGGGTATGTTAATGCTAGTTTCTTTGCACTTGCCTTCTTGGTTTCAGAAACATAATTCTCTGATAGAGAAAGAGCTCCATACTTCTTCTAAATAACTTTATTGGAAGAGAAAAGATGAATGCAAAATTCTTTCCTTTAAATAAAGCAAATACAAGCCACAATTTCAGCCTCTTGAGACAATACTGATTTATTAAGGAAAAGGTAGCCACATTTTAATATTAACTCATATTAGATTTGTAGCTTTCCTAACTCCCTAGAGGCCAAATCTGATGTTACTTCAGTGCACTTATTTAGACACACACAAGTATCTGGAAACGGGATTTATTTCTGCAATATGTTGACTTTTGCATTCTGCTATCTTGTCAGCAAACACAAGAATAGCTTCTTCAGCGAAGGTGGATCTTTATGCCTACTCCTAAGCTTCGGGTTGTTCCAACTTTCCTATTCCCAGTGCTCAACACTGTTTTTGTTTTGTTTTTTAAAGTATTAATGCGCTTCTATTCTTTCTCCATAAAGCAAAGGATGATTCTTCGTGGCTGTCTTCATTGTCAGAATCACATAGCAAGCAGCGTGATAGGCTTTTCATTATTTATTGTATTCCTAATGCTAATATGTTAGAAATGTGTATCCTTTTTTAGCAGTTAAGGACTTTATTAAATCTTTTTTTAAAAAAATGTTTTATTAATTTTTAATATACACCTTAATATTTGGTAAACATCATATTGTCTGGGTTAGTGTTTAAAAAACAATCAATAACAATTAATTTCTATAAATCTATAATCCATATAGTAGCTTTCCTTGATTTCCTCTTCTTCCAATAATCTTTTGCCAACCTTAAATTAATATTTAAATTAATTTAAATTCTTATTTAAATAAATGACAATTGAATATAAACATTTTTTTCATGTTTCTGCAAATAATAACCACATCAATATAAAGCTTCTTTTCACTGATCGTCTTGATTGCCTCATCATAAATCCTGTTTACATTTTTTTTTTTTTTTGGAAAATTTTTAAATTTTACAAAACAATACGGTTCCCTTCCCCAAACCACCCCAACCCTCCCATGCCCTCCCCCGACCTTCCCAGAGCTGAATACAGGCTTAATTAATATTTTTTCAAAAAGTCTTAAAACAAATATAAACCATAAACAAATCTAAATACATTAATTAAAGAAATTGTAAACTAGTTAACAATAATATATGTATAAAAAAAACAAAAATACAAGGAAATACGAGAAAATAGGAAGAAAGAAAAAGGAAAAAAGTCTATAAAATATCTTAAATTTTAAGTATAAGTTATTGAAAAGCTAAATAATATTTTTTTATATCCAACTTATATTGTATAAAGTCTATCCATTTTTTCCATACCAAAAAATACTTCTCTTGCGATTGGTCTTTCAAGAAAGCCGAAATCTTTGCCATTTCCGCCAAATAAGAAACTTTAAAAAACCACTCTTGCAAGGTAGGCAAAGATTCCTTCTTCCAACATTGCCCTACTAACAACCTTGCCGCTGTGATTAAATTTAACATCAATATAGTCTCTTTAGTATCACAATCAGAAACAATACCTAACAAAAACAGTTGTGGGGTAAATTTTACCCTTCTTCTAAAAATTCTTTGAATATTCCACCATATCTTAATCCAAAAAGCTTTTATATTTTTACATGACCACCAGATATGATAATAAGTAGCATCCAAACATCCACATCTCCAACATTTAGGCTGTAAGTCAGGATACATACGAGACATTTTTTGTGGATCAAGGTGCCATCTATAAAACATTTTGTAAAAATTTTCCCTTAAATTTTGGGCTTGTGTAAATTTAACATTCCTCACCCAAATAATTTCCCAAGTATCTAATAGAACCGGTTCATCAAAATTTTGTGCCCATTTAACCATACATTCTTTAACTAATTCTACTTCTGAATCCAATTCTACTAACACCCCATAAATTCTCTTAATATGGGTTCGTCTTTGATCTTTTATTTGTTTTAATAAATTCTCATCTTCTCTAAGGAAACCCACATTACGATCTATCTTCCACCTCTCCACTATTTGTCTATAATGAAACCATGAGTAAATAATATTTTCTTGTATTAAATCTTCCAAAGATTTTAATTGCCAATTTTTACCATCCCATCTAAGTAGTTGTGCATAAGAAACGCTATCCATCTTGACTCCTCTCCTTATCCCTTCTATCGCATGCCCCAGTATAGCCCATAATGGAATTTTAAAATCACTTCTATAATATTTCCTCCAAACCCGAAGTAAAGAAATCCTTATAATATGAGATTTAAAGACCCTATCAACTTTTTTATTAAAAATTAAATAGGCATGCCATCCAAAAAGTAAATCCCAACCCTCTAAGAGGAATATTTCTACATTTGTTAAATTAACCCAATCACTTATTAATGTTAAAACCACAGCATCATAATACAATTTCAAATTCGGTAACTTGAGTCCACCTCTCTCACGAATATCCTGTATAATTTTAAGTTTTACTCTTGGTTTTTTCCCTGCCCAGATCATTCATTTAAATTAACCTCATTCTTTAAAATAGGTATCATTTGAAATAAAAAAAGAAACTTTGGCAAAACATTCATTTTAATTGCCGCAATTCTTCCCAAAAGAGATAATTGCAACTTCTCCCAATTTTCCAAATCTCTTTGTATATTGACCCACAGCCTTTCATAGTTATTTTTGTACAATTTTGCATTAGAAACAGATAAAATAACCCCCAGATATTTTACCTTATTGACAACCTCAAAATCTGTCAACTTAACCAAAGTCTGCTTATCCAGATTAGTCATATTTTTAGGCAATATTTTAGTCTTATTGTTATTAATTTTAAAACCCGAAACCTGTCCATACTGATGTATCAATTGTAATAACTCTATTACAGAATAAGTAGGTTGAGCTAAGGTAACCACCAAGTCATCTGCGAAAGCCCTTAATTTATATTCTTTTTTATTAACTTCTATTCCTTTTATTTGCTGTGATTCTCGAATTTTAATCAACAATATTTCCAAAGTTAAAACAAACAGCAATGGTGACAATGGACAACCCTGTCTAGTCCCCTTCTCTATTGTAAAAACCTCTGACAAACCCCCATTAACTATAAGTTGTGCCGTTTGCTTTTGATAAATAACACCAAGAGCTTGTAAAATTTTTTCTCCAAAATTCATAAATCCTGTTTACATTCTTATTTAAATTTGTTTTCCCCACAATATTCAAAACATTCTTACTGGTTAAGATTTTCTCAAACTTAGTTACACTTAAGTATTTAAGTCTTTTTTCTCATACAAGCCATCACATTTTTACATTTCTCATATCTTAAAGAAAAATAAGAGAGGGAAAAAAAGACAAAACAGAGAAAACATTTCTTTTATGTAACCCATCCCAACATTTTTATATTTCTCATGTCAAAAAACCAAACACAAAAGAAAAAAGAAAGAAGGCATACTATATTAGTTGAGGGGTTCATCCCTCTTAAACTAATCTTCATTTATATTCAAAATCTTTCTATTTCTTTAATCATATTCAAACAAATGTTTGATTTTTAAATACTCCCTCTGGTAATTCCCATCATCTAATTTCTTAATTCTCACTTTAGCCTTTTTTTTTTTTTGCCCAACATCTTCCCTGTTCAATATACTTCAATGAATCAAATAATCTTCCCATAATCTTATAAATGTTGTTGCAGGTACAAAAGGCAAAATTGGTAAGATGTTTTTATAGGAAGGTTTAGCTCCTTCATATTCATTGAAAATCTTTTCTTTTTTTTCCTTTCTTGATTTTATTTATTATTTTTTGTCTCTCAAGTTCTCATAATTCTTCTGGCAAAATCCATTTTGCCAAATCTTTTTTTTTCTTGTCCTCAAACTTATTTTGTAATCTTAAAGTGTAGTTTGTCTTTTCTATGTCCAGAGTTTCCTGTAACTTTTTTCCCATCTGGGTTAAGTCATACTTCCTTGTGTCCTTAAATTCAATCTTAAAATCTCTCTCCTCTGTCTCATATTCAGTTGTCAATTTTTTCTGCTCACTCTCTATTTTTATTTTCTGAGAATTTTTATGTTGTAAAGTTAAATTGGAGATGTGTTAATTTATGTTTTCAAAGTTATGTTTAATTTCCTCATGGTTTGAAATTATTGTTGTTTGGATTAGTTGCAACATAACATAGATCTCCTTCTGGAAAGTATTTGTTTTTTCTTGGTATATTCCTTCTGCAGATCTCTGGTTTTCCATGATAGCCAAAAATCAGGGTTTTCCTTTCTCTGTAGACAGCTTTAGAGTCACAGTTGAGTTAGTATTTATAATCCAGAAAGGTCAATTTTTTTTTTTAGAATTTATAATTCTCATTTTGTAGAAAACCCAAGATGTTTTCTTTTTTCTTTTCTTTCTTTTTTTTTGTCACAACCGTTCTCTATTATTAAGACATTGAAGGTCACCAGAATCAAATTTATCTTTTCCTGGGCCTTACCAGTCCCTGTAATAGAGCAGCTGTTGTTGTATATTTTCATCCACCACTGGATGTCAGGACCAGTTCTTTCAGTTCTTTTCAGTAATAGACAATTATTTACTTCTATTTTCATGATATAAAAGGAAAATCTTAACAGATTCTACCGATTTCAAACTTATCCAAATTAAGTCTTATATTCTTTTCATTTCAATATATTTCTGTTCCCCCTGAAAGATTTAATTCGCCACTTCCATCTGCAGGAGGGTGGGGCAAAGATCCCCTTCTCACTTTCGGAGGCTTTTTGCTTCTTAGGGTTTTTCTTTTTCCAGGAAATCAATTTCCAAGTAGAAGAAAGAAAATCACTGTTCTTACCCAGTTCCAAACACGTTGTTTACAGTCAGCTTGAAGTAGTACTTTTGGACTTCAGTTGCTTGTAGCTTGAGCTAGACTTGGAAGTTAAGCTAGACTCTTCTCTTGCCGGTTTCTGGAGGGCTTTTCCCAAACCGATCGGATCAACCACTGTCTCTCCGCAATCGGCGGGACTTCCCCCCTTCTATGTTGCTTCTATGAGGCAACTTCAGGCTCATTTAGGGTCCCCTCGCAGGCAGAAATCAGCTGTAGGGTGTGGAGTCCCGTGATCTCTGCTGCTGTGCTGCTGCACAAACTGGAATTCCAGGACTTTATTAAATCTTTGAATAGCATACATAGGCCACATTACAAAGTCAGAATCAGAACAAAACAAGAAGCAAGGCTAGTACAAAAGTTTAGATTACATTACAGTGTTGTTTGGAATCAGATCAAATTAATAATTTGATATTGATGTCAATTAATCGTAATAGTATATGATTATTAACAAAAAGACAAACTAGTCACACTGGTTTTGCATGGTTCGCTCAGTTTTAACTTGGAAGAATAAGTTTATTCTGAATTTGATTTCTGGAAGAAGATGGTGTATCTGATTAAAATGCCACAAGGACATTTTATATTAGGTCTCTGTGTTATCATTAATGTCACTCATTCTCTTTTGATTCAAGTTTCACTTTGAAAACATAACCAAAGTTAAAACATTTTGAGAGATTACATTATAGAGGTTTTACTTTCAGTAATAATATTACATCTTCAAAAAATGGCATAATATAAGTTGCAATACCGGGTGACTTTGTGTAGAAAAAGAATCAATGCAACACCAATCTGAAATGATTATCAAGTCTCCACCAGAGGGAGATGGAAAACCATTTAATGAACCAAGAGTTTGACAGATGTATTCTATATTAATCCATAACTCATATTTGCTAAAGAATGCCATATAAATTGTTGAATTAATACTAATTCTGGGATTTCTTCCAAGTCCATATATTTTTATTACATGTATCCCTTATTTTCCCACTTACAAATAGATGATAAAAGTTAAAATACTCCATTATAAACAATATCTAGACAAAAATATAAAATAAGATTGTAATCTGCTTTCAAAACAGCAGTAACAGTCATCTCAAGTACTCATGTACATTTTCCCACATAGCCAATGATATATGATATTCTCTCATATGGATTTGATTTATTCACACACTGTGTAAATAAATTAAAAATCATGCTTTTTACAAATTAGCTATCCACAATTGCATTATTCCTCGTTACTTCCAAGCACAAGTGGAGGTTTTTTTAGGAAACTTTGAGTAAAATTCTTTTAAGTGGCAATTTAGTTAATCATCTCACAAACAAAGATGTAAGAAAGTTCAAACACATGAATACACAACCATTCTTTATATAGAAAATGATGAATGGTTAGAATGCAGTAGATTTTTTTCTGTGTACACAGCAGTCTTGTCTTGAGTAAAATGAAGAATCAAACAACAATGTCTTTGAACCTTTGCCATTTATTTGTCTCTTTTATAGGGCTGGGGAGCAGAATACCATCGCCAGGATGTTACAAGTACTCCTTGTTGGATTGAGATCCATCTTCATGGACCTTTGCAATGGCTAGATAAAGTGCTGACACAAATGGGTTCCCCACATAACCCAATATCCTCTGTTTCGTAAGAATTATCTCCACACACTCTAGGGGACAAATAGTGCTTTTGGCCTTGGCTTGTAGGATTCTTCCTTAAATTTCTGTATATAGCTGTAAATATGATATAACATACTATTAGTGTTTTTCATGCTGTATTACATGTTTCATTAGTTAATAAGACTGCAAAAAGTACAGTACTTTGTCATTGTATTCTGTCTATTAATGAAGCCATAGAAATATGTCTTGCCTATTTTTTTTGTAAGGAATGAGACCAGTATTGTTTGCACTTTGTAAAAAACTATATATCAAAGTTAAATTCTGAAAACAATAATGCTGATTTCAAATGCAGCAAATGGTACCTCTGTTCAGAGTGGCAGTTTATTGATACCATCAAGCAGATGCTTCTGGAAATTTAGAATATCGTGACTGTGGTTTGTCCATTTTGTCCCTAGCATGTGGATTTCAACATAAAATTTTATTGTTTGTGATTACAAAGGTTATATTGTGTACAATTAACAATTATAAGCCTGCAAATGGAACCTTCTCTAAATACCAGGCCTCTCTGTCATTGGTTTGAAGAGAAATTTGAGACTGAACGAAACCTCCTGCTTTGTGATATAAAAAACATTACCTATCCGATTCCAAGAATTATTAAATTTGTTGTTCAGTAATGATGAGGTAATGATGGGAAGAGGCAATATAAAGCTGCTATACTTTGAATTCCATTCTTTGTAATACCTAGAATGATTTCTACCTAGCTAGCAGGACATTGTAGTCCTTCACACATGCTTCATCTGCAGTGGAAAGGAAGAAATATTTAATATATTAACCCCAAGACATGACTAATTGGCCATATGTTATGGGCCTTGATAGTAGAAATGGACAGTTGACCAATGACAATCGCAATTTTCTTAATACAAAACAAAACAGTAGATTCATGTGTTGCCAAACTTCTCTCAGACTCTTCAAATTCATCATTTACAAAGTAAATAGCATTTCAGTAAAAATACTACTACTCTTCCTTCCACACATCTTAATTATTGATAAGCATAGTAAATGAAGGCAATTGTTATCGACAATGAACCTGAGTGGAAGGTAATTAATATATTGTTAATATGTGCTAGCCTTTGCTTCAGTTTATGTATTACTTATTTGATCAGTCACTTTGTACATAATATTGAATGATAAAAAATACACTGGAATAGCCCCAAATTATTAACTTGCTGCAAAATGGATCAAATTTAATAACAAATCTAAAAATGCATTTGCCAGAAAAGAAAAATCAGCTGATAGCACTTAAGTATTTAAGTCTAAGTACACATCTTTATACAATTCTGCTAATCAGAGCATCAGTTTGCCCTTGAATGTTCTATTACCAAGTTATTTCTTTAAATTGTTCTTACTTTGGGGTATCCCAATCCTAATTCGATCCTTTGACAGATAGATATCTCACCCTCCATTGTTAACCTAGAAGCAAGTAATTTATGGAGAAAAATGGATTAATGACATCAAATTGTACATTCAATACACCTTAAAGAATGAGAGTGGGATATAGGTTTCCTGCACGTATGGATTTCTACAAGGTGTCTTTTGAGAATTAAAGATTTGACAGAGATAAGTTTTAGAAAATTGATAAAGACTGTAATTGATAAAGACTGGAAATTTTATTCTTCAATTGCATTGTTAAAATGTTTTAAATATAATTGTATCAAAGAAAAAACTTAATAGCATTGCCAAAGAGGGATTCTATAATAACCTCACAGGCAAATATAATTTGAGATCTACAAACTATAATCAGTTTTATTAGATATATGAAATCTTACTTTCTGCTTACAGAAAGTGCAGAAAGTGCAGCTGGAAGAAAAACCTAACTTAAGACTAAATAATAAAATTAAAAAGTTTTAAGCCCTAATACAATTATGACAAGCTTTTTGAATTTCATTCTTAAATTTTACAGTTTAACTAAACAATATATGGACAATCAATATTTAAAAGGGTTAAAATTGATTTAGAAAATAAGTGGAACTATATTTGTCATAAGGTGCCTTTGCATGACATAATGAACCACAAACTAGCCAATCTTATTTAGCCTAGCCCACTTGTCCAATTTAGTTTAATGAATTATGTAAATACAAGAAATTTGGTTGGGCAAACCATGGATAATTTTACCTCAGTGTGTTGTGTGAACACAGTCATAAAGTAATCAGTGTGTAATATTTGTTAGGATGTGCATTCATAGTAATTCCTTTATTCACTTGTGAACAACACATTTATAAACATATCAAACAGTGTTTCAAATAAAAATCTCAGTGACATCTACTGCAGTGTGATATTTTCAACCGATGCAGAACAGAAATACCTTAAATCCTTATTGATATATGATTATTATGCCTATAAGCTTGGTTTCTTTTTCTGGAATGGTAGGATAACAACTAATAAAAAAGGAAAAAATAGCTAAAATAGCAGAATACTGCTGTATGTAAAACAACTGTCCTAGGAATTTATAAACCTAGAGCTCTCTCAGCCATGAAGCATAGCTAAATGCAACACATGCTGTATAGAAAAATATTTACTGCTAAATTGTACTTGGAAAAAAAAATCATACGATTACTTCTTTCAGAATTCAGCTAAGACTGCCTGCATAAAAATGGCCCCTTTAGATAGATTTTTCTGTGCCCAAATGTTTTTGTACAACTATTGAAAATATGTAAATTTAAAGCTGTTAAATGTGTTTATAAATATGCAGTGCTTTGAAATTTAAGTCATTTGGCAGAAAAACCATTTATCAGCAACTAGTTTAGGGGAAATCATTTCTTAAAAATAGTTATATATGTTCAAAACACGTTCAGCCTTTTGGGGAACAATCTGGAAGTACTGGGAAGCTGTATGATATTCAAGATTAATTCATAGAAAACTAAATGGTCTGTTATTTATTATATGCAGGTCAACTATTTCCTTATTTAAAAACCTGTAGGAAAAAAGTCTGTTTTTATTGATTAAAATTGAATTTTATTAATGATTCTGAGGCTTTTTTATAAATTGTTTATTCTCAGCCTTATTTTCCATTAGCTGCTGGTGGAGGAAGTAAACCTATTATTCATTAATGCAGTGCTTTTTTTGTATTAAAAAAAAAGTGCCGGAACTCACACGTCATACAACCCGCCTTGCCTAACCTACAAGGTTCCATCCCAAAAAGGTGCCGGAACTCCGTCCTGGGCGTTCTATGACCAAAAAAGCCCTGCATTAATGATCCAGATGGTGATATCAGAGAAGCTCTCGACATGAAGGAGCTATTTGGTGCATTGTGTATGGGAAAACAATCCAATATTACAGTTAAAAGAAATAGAATCTTATAAAAAGGGAATTATAAATAAGGTGGAGTTATTGATGTTCCAATATAATAAAGGAGCAATACTATTAAAGATTGAGATTGAACTACTTTTATTTAAAACCAAATGAAAAGAAAGATATTTTTTCCACTTCCCTTATTTATTGGTGTGATTTCTTTCTGATTGGTTACTGCGGAGCTGCATAAATTCTCCCCCCTCTCACCCACCCAGGGAACAATTGATAAGGAACAATACAAAACACATGGATCCTACAGATTAGCATTAAAGAAACCACATAATTTCTGCTGCAACTATAAGCAAGGTACCAGGTTGTAATTCTACTTGGATTTTTGTGTTTCAGAGCACTGAATGATCACTGCAATGCTATACAGGATTGCAACCTAAAAATTCTGGGTAACATTACAATTTTTCTCTGATTTATTTAAGTCTGGATGCTTGCTAACTATCTACAGAACTATGCATAAGAGTGCAGTCTTCAAAGTAGGCAGAATCCATATTCATACTTGAAGGTTGGCATATTGAAATGAATGGTTAGGACTTTCTGTGTGTCCAGATAAAATGTGTGTGTAAAAGTAGGAAAGACTGCTGACTCTTTTAAAAGACATTAAATTTTTAAAACAAAGATTTCAACCCAGATTCACAGATTGAAATTTGAAAAGCAGAATGTGGAAAATTAAAAGAAAATACTATTATAGTAACTTATTTGTATCATCATTTTTTAACAGAGTGAATATTACATCTCATACTTTCCCCACAAATTTATGACTACCAGCATATGTAAACATCCAAGTATCTGAGTACAGCAAGCAGTGGTCTGAATAATAAGTGTTTTACTCCCATACATATCCATGTCATGCAAAACCACAGCAAGGATTTTGTACATCTAGATACATTTTGCCTTGAGTTTGTTGTAGCTTGTTTTGCTAGAGGAGAACATTAATAATCCATTGCTTTGGAGCCACAGATCATTTATGATTATTTTCAATCCAATGGCATCATCTGCTCCCTTTGTGAGAAGATGGAGTCTATTCGATAGATGTACCTCCAGGCAACTGATGGGTCCAATGGGAATTGAAAAGGAGCTTGGCATTTTTCATGGGGACCAGATGGGTAGTTCAGGCATTAGAAAGGGAAGACTTGGATTGTGTTGTCACTATGTGACCTCTTCCAATGCAGCAATCCCAGGATGTGCTGTGGATTGCTGAGATCAAGGGAATGAAGCACAAGAGAAGTTATGCCTTTGCTTGGATCCTGAGGCCCTGCATATGGTCACTTGTGCCCTAGTCATCTCTTGGCTGGATTACTGCAACTTGCTCTACATGGGGCTACCCATGTATTTGGGCTACCCCCAAATACATGTACCCCATATATTTGGAAACTGCAGCTGGTGGGAGCATCTAGGGCTGCACATATAATACCTTTACTGCACAAGTTGCATTGGTTACCACTCTGCCTCCAGGTCCAAGTCAAGATGTTGGCTGTTACTTTTAAAGCCCTACATGTCATAGGTCCAGGATATCTGAGGAGCCATCTCTCCCCAGTAAGACAAACCTGCCTCACTCGTGCCAGCAGAAGAGGCCTGCTACAGATCCTAGCAGTTAAGGAATTGAAGCAGGCGAAATCAAGAACAGCCTTTTTCCTGTGGCATATTCTGCCATCCAGAGGTGAGAAGTATTCCCTCTTGGCCTTCTGGATGTATATTAAAATCCGGCTATCTTTATTGCATCTGCTGATAGTTGCTCAGCAACTCTTTAGGGTGACCTGGTCCCTTTTTTCATTTATCTCAAGTACAGTGTTTGAGTTAATGGGAGTATTTCAAGAAAGTTTCATTTCCCCTTGTATATTGGCTTCCTGGAAGTTCCTTTCTTGAAGCTTATAGGTAGTCCTTGACTTACAACTGGTCACTTAGCAACTGTTCAATGATATGACAGATCTATCAGGGTACTTATTACTAGATTCCAAAGTTCCAATAGCTGCCTGCGTCTCAGGGTCACATGACTCCATGTCAGGCACTCGGGAATCAACCCATTTACAGACATTTGTAGCATCACATGATCACATCTTACAATGGTTTTGCTGAAAACCAGCATTTACTCCCAAGAACCATTGGTTTGCTAATTGACTGCAGTGGTCACTTTACCATCATGGTGTTCACCTAAGAGCCACTGAGAAAAGGTAAAATCGTGTTGGTCAAGTGGGTGATCTATTTTATGACCATTATAACTTATAGCTCTGATGGGTAGATTCCATTACAGTCATACGTCAAGGACTACCTGTACTGGCTTGGTAGTTTCTTAAGTAATTTCAAATGCATTGCAGCTAGGCGTTCTCAATAAAGGTGCTAAGCTAGTAGTGTAAGAGCAGCTTATCTCACTCTATGGGGCTTGCTACATCAAAATATACTCCATTATGGATCATATCATGTAATATTTACAGAAATGGACAGTGAATAATGAATATAACCAGCAACTGGATTGTAACTATTATTTCAGACAATATTGAAAAAAATTAACCAATAGTTGAGACTTAAAGTAAAACAAAAAAAAATCCACAATTTAGATCCGTTTCTTGATACAGTTTAAAATTATTTTAAATCCTGCCTTTATTATTTTTATAAGGCAGAGAACGTATATAATATCCCTCTTTCCTCCTATTTTCCCCACTCCCCAGCAACACTGTGAAGTGAGTTGGGCTGAGAGAGACTGACTGGCCCAAAGCCACTCAGCTAAGTTCTTTGCTGAGAAATACTAACAGGGATATGATAATGTAGAAGACAATATCAATTTATATACAATGGCTTGGATTCAGACTTAGTTATAGTTAAAATAGAACCATATAATCACTGAGTCCTTGGATTGATTTGTTTTATTGATCTTGACTTAACATTGGAGTCAACGTAATTTGTACAATTACAAAATCTTTAAAAAGTCTGATGTAAAAAATTAACTTAAATGACATTTTACAAAAAGTTTTTTTAAAAAAACTGCATGTTCAGAAAGAGTTCAAAAATTACAAATATACAAAATGATGCTTTAAAATAGTCTTATATAAACTATGGATGTTTCTTAGTACAAATAAGTCATTAAAATGCAACAATAATATAAATAAATTTAAATAAATGCCTCTTAATGAATCCTGGCAGTAATATACTGAAATACACTAAATATTCAACCATGTGTACAAAATGTACATAACATTAATACAAACCTGGAACACATTATTTATAATGTAATATAAAATTATCAATTAGATTGCCTGGCAGACAAATCTAACAACAGTAACGGGACTGTGAGCCAAATTGTGCTACACAGTCCCCCAGTTAGTAAAATAAACTCAGATGTGGCTTCCTGAACAAGAAGTTACTGGAGTGGCTCAAAGTTTACTGTTTAAAACTTCCATAGAAAGTAACTATTGTTTTCTTCAATGAATGTCATAAAATAATAACTTTATGCAAGGTTAGTTTGCATAAAATAAAAAGCAGCTTGTTTATCAGTTTATCTTTCCCAAAAACATCAATATAACTTCCAAAATGAATCAATGGAAGTTTGTAATTGAGGGGAGAAGCTGCACAAAGCTCATAAAAACAATTTAAAACGTTAATTTCAAATAAAATCAAAGAAAAAAGCAAAAGGGCAATACAGAAAATGAAACTAACTACAACAGTTACAGAAATTCAGTAGACCCCATTATAATAGTGTTTACTTCTGCTATGAAATTTGCTGTTACATTGGTGCTCCTGAAAACTGTTGTTGTCTTTGTTCCAATGCTTGTTGACTTAGCAGTTGTTGTCGTTTTTGCAGAAATTGTACAACTTCAGGACTTCTCAGAAGTGACTACAGAGAAACAAAAATGTAAGTCTCCCCATTCTAACCTTGAAATTGCATAGAATACTTTACATGCAGAGTCACCACATAGCCACATTAGGCATATCGTATTCAGTGGGACAGACCAATTAAATAAATAAATAAATTCTTTACCCGTTAATTTAGATTTCTCATTTTAAATTTTTTGCCTTTATATATTAGATGCCATATAGCAGTGATGGCAAACCTTTTAGAGACCGAGTGCCCAAACTGCAACCTAAAACCCACTTATTTATCACTGGGTGCCAGGTGGGCATGGCTGTGGTGGTCATGGCAGACTGGGTGGGTGTGGCCAAGGTGGGCGTGGTGACCTCAATGTTGCTCATGGGGAGGGATGCCTATGGGGGCCGGGCAGGGTTCGGGGAGATCCAGGGGGTCTCTGGCAGGTGGGGCAGTGGGCAGGAGGCTCGTCTTGCGGGGTGAGGTGAGACAAGGCAAGGCAGGACTGGGATGCCATTGTTGCAGGGCGAGGCAGGGGCCGGGGCGGCTGCTGCCTGACACCATCGGCCCTCTCATACAGAGGCCAGTAAGTGCATGGGGGCCAACAGTGTCTGTCAGCAGCCACAGCCTGCCAGCCCCTCGACCGGCGCACTCTGGGGTTCCGCAGCCCGCCACCAGAAGTTCAGAAAAGCCGCTTTGAGATGGACAGACGGCCGACAGCTGAGGAGGCGATGCAGTGGGTCATGCCCAGGAAAAGGAGAGCATGCGAGGCCAGGAGGGATGGGATGGGGGAGGGAAACCAGCTATGCTGGGATGCATCCGGCCACGTGGGACTTCGGCGAGTTAGAAGGCGGCTGGTTGAAGGACAGTTGTCATCTCCGGGGCATGGCGCGCATGCCCACAGAGAGGGCTCTGAGTGCCGCCTCTAGCATGCATGCCATAGGTTCACCACCACTGCCATATAGATAATGGATTTAAGGGCTCCTGGGACACACTATGATCTGTAGTAGCTTTACTTTGCAGAATACTATTCAAGAGTTAACTATTCCTTATCTCTTCCAAGGTAGAAATAGTAACTTAAGACCCACAAAAACTCTGGGACCTCTTTAGAAGCATAATCTCTACTGCCATTCCAATTTCCATCTTCTTCCATTTCCATGCTGGGGGAGGGGTTGGAGAATGGCAAAAACATATTATGAATAAACTTCCCAAGCCAGATTTTCATTGGTGCCAATCCTGTTCACATCAATGTGTGAGGGGGAGAAAAGCAAGATCCTTCCTAACTCCATTGTACCAACTGAGAGGACTATAAAAATAAATGGGCAACAATCACAAGTCATACACTCCTATTGCAGAAAAATGAGTCATCTGATTAGGAGATGACTGAATCATTCATGTTTGTAAATGGCCAGAAGCACCTCAGATGCTGTTATCTGCCCCTCTATTTCCTTTGCTTTAGAAGTTTCATCTTTTCCAATTTGAACAGAACACTTCCAGAATATATTGGCTTTTTTATTGATTGGCAGTAGTTAAGAATATATAATGCAGCAATATCTGGAAACCTGTAATTTTCAGTAGCAACAGCTTGCCTAGCCAACAGTAAGTAGAAGGAAGGCAAAAAGTTACAGTGCAACAACCTCCTGAAACTCAGTGTTTCTTAATGTTGGGCTAACAACATATCACAAATACGGGTCTTTTTAAAAAGCTCTTATGAAAGAAATGTAGCAGAACAGTTTTATCCCATTTTACTAGTATATTCATCTCATAAAGCAGCTTTTCAGAAATTAATGATAGCACTTACCAGCCTTTTCTGATTTAGCACCTGTTCCAAAAGTGTAGGTTTTGCAGGCCTATCTCCAATACTACCTGTTCTTTGCTTTGATACAGAAACGGAAGTTTCAGTGCAATCCTTAGCATGTACACAAACACAAAAAAGAGGAAAAGTAAATTGTATTTGTTCCATCAGAAAAACATCTACATTACTTTAGAGGTAGCCTATAAGTCAACCACATTATTTGACTACAGTATTTCATTTCTCTCAATAGTAAAATGTATTTTGAAAATAGAGCCTAATGATAAATCTCTAAGTTTTCTTTATCAAGCAAATAATATACTTAACACAGAATAGTGTATATGGTGTAACTTTAGCTACAGACCAAATTTCAGACTTTTAAAATAAATATTAGAAACTAATTGTTAAATCTCTAGTAAAGATAAGTATCAAAGAATTCTGAGTCCACTTTCCACTGAAGATATTTCTCTCATACTTTTATCATGTGAAATCTATTTTAATTTTAAAGTCAGAAATATTTGAGACATTAGAAACATTTTAAAGGTAAGAATCTCACTAAATTATTTCTGTTCTAGCAGTGAGGCTGTAACTGCACTGACCTAGATATTATCCATTAAGAAACTTGATAGAAATTTGTTTAAAAAAATTCTTATACTGATATCCCTAGTCTATAATTTCACAAGTGGATGAAAGTTTCCCCAAGTATTCAAAAATCAGCCAGCAGCTTCATTTAACAATAAACACTTGGAATGCCTCAAGGAAGAGGGAGTCAAATTATTCTCCAAAGCACCTGAAGGCAGAACAAGAAGCAATGGATGGAAACTGATCAAAGAGAGAAGCAACCTAAAACTAAGGATAAATTTTCTGACAGTTAGAACAATTAATCAGTGGAACAACCTGCCTCCAGAAGCTGTGAATGCTCCAACACTGAAAGTTTTTAAGAAGAGACTGGACAGCCATTTGTCTGAAATGGTATAGGGTTTCCTGCCTGAGCAGGAGGTTATACTAGATGACCGACAAGGTCCCTTCCAACTTTTTATTACATTATTATTGATCATCATGTGCACAGTCAGCCAGATGTTCAGACTGGATCTGGCATTTTTGTCTACCTATCGAGTCCTTACCAAGGACCTGGAATAGGCAGATGTGGATGTTTGATGGTATTACAGATATTGTTGCAGGATGGAAGCAGTTCCTAGTAAGGCCGCCTTTTGCAATTGATTAATGGCGAATTTCTCAATTCCAAAAATATTGTTATTGTTATTATAAACCTGAAAGCAATTGGAAAATACAGGTTTCAGCCAGAATTGTTTCCTTGTTCATCCAGATGAGTACTACATGTTTCATCACAGGCAACAGAATAATCAGTTGTAAACTGCCCAGAGTAGCCCCACTGCAAAATGGGCAGCAATAAATTTAACAAATAAATAGTAACATGTTAGTAAACATGGTTATAAATAAATACCAGAAAAAGTGATGTGAGTTTTGCATAGAATAATTAAAGCAGCCATGTTGTTGAAACCTATTCCAGGGTATTGCACCAGTGGAACCAAAGTGGATTTGCATTATGTACCTAGATAGCAGCATCAACAACACATCCTAGTAAGAAGAGAATTTAAACATTTGAACATTTTTACAAACAAACATGAAAAAACTGAAGAAATGATAATTACAGGACTTCCGGTTACGGTTCGCGGCATCTCTAGTCGCACAGAGAGATTTGTCTCCTCATCAGCTAGCTTTCCCTCTGCCAGCAGACCCTTATGCGGGTCCAAAGTCACCCTGGAGGGTGCGACTTCTGTCAAGGAGGCTCTGCTCGGCTGCTGAGGAGCGGCAGCTCCTTTAGCGGTCCGAGCTATCTCTGAAGGCCGATGAAGAAGAAGATCGGCCAGTAAAATGGCCGATCACCCTGCTGCTTCAAACCGCAAGTCAAGGAACATCTAAGCTGTAAGAACCCCCGTGGTGAATCCGGGTGAGACCTTTCTTTGCTATTCTCTCTATTCCATTTTGTATTTGGTACCTGAAAGAGCCTTGTTGGAATTACTTCCCTGGCTTGAAAAGGCAGCTTCTACATTTTTCGGGAAGAAAGGCGTTCTATAAAAATAGAACAAAATTTTAAAGACTATATTTACTTTTATATTTTTGGGGGTACAGAAAAAAAATTTCTTTTCCTTTCCTCTTTTTCTAAGAACTATACTATCATCCTATGCTGGAAGATTATTTCTTTTTCACATTATACTTTAAAAGATAGAAAAGGGGAAATGGTGTTTGAAAAAGACTTTTTTTAACCTACTGAGGACATCTAGTGGTGAAAATGTAATATTGCAACTTCCGGTTACTTGGTTTGAAGATAGCTGACCTTCAAAACACTTTTGAAGAGGAAAGATAAGATGGAGAACTGTGGGGGTGGATATTGCCTAAATTATTTATTTATTTAATTTTATTTATATGCTGCCCAATCCCAAACAATCATCTAACAATAAACAATAAAATAATACAATCATACAGCATGTCCAATCATATCCCCCCCCCCCGGGGACATCAGCCCCAGGCCTGCCGGAACAGGAGAATTTTAACGGCTTTCTTAAAGGCCGGCAGGGTGGGAGTAGTTCGAACCTTGGGGGGAAGTTGATTCCACCAGGTCGGAGCCACCACAGAAAAGGCCCTTCCCCGAGGGCCCGCCAGCTGACATTGTCTGGCCGACGGGACCTGAAGGAGGCCCAATCTATGGGACCTCACCGGTCTCTGGGAACTCTGCGGCAGTATGCGGTCCTGTAAATAACCTGGCCCTATGCCATGAAGGGCTTTAAAGGTGATAACCAACACCTTGAATTGCGTCCAGAGACCCACAGGAAGCCAGTGCAGCTTGCGGAGGATAGGGACACGTGGGCGTACCTTGGCGCGCCCACAATCGCTCTCGCGGCTGCATTCTGAACCAACTCCAGCCTCCGAACGCTCTTCAAGGGTAGCTCCATGTAGAGCGCGTTACAGTAATCCAGTCTTGAGGTGACAAGGGCATGAGTGACCGTGAGTAAAGCCTCCCGGTCCAAATAAGGCTGCAACTGGTGCACCAGGCGAACCTGGGCAAAGGTCCCCCTGGCCACAGCCGATAGATGTTGTTCCAAATTTAGCTGTGAGTCCAGGAGGACACCCAAGTTGCGTGCCTGCACTGAGGGAGGTAAATTTGCCCCCCCCCAGGACTAATGATGGACCATCCAGTTGACCTTTGGGAGGCAAGACCCAGAGCCACTCGGTCTTGTCAGGGTTGAGTCTAAGCCTGTTCACCCCCATCCAGACCCTCACATCTTCCAGGCACCGGCACATCACGTCGACTGCTTCACTGAAAGGACACGGGGTGGAGATATATAATTGGGTATCATCCGCGTACTGATGATACCTCACCCCGTGTCGCCGAATGATCTCACCCAGCGGTTTCATGTAGATGTTAAAAAGGAGGGGGGACAGGACCGAGCCCTGAGGCACCCCATGATCGAGGCGCCTAGGGGTCGATCTCTGTCCGCCCGCCAACACCGACTGCGACCTGTCAGAGAGGTAGGAGGAGAACCACCGCAATACGGTGCCGCCCACCCCCACCTCTCCGAGACGACGCAGAAGGATACCATGGTCGATGGTATCGAAAGCCGCTGAGAGGTCAAGAAGCACCAGGATAGAGGAATGACCCCTATCCCGGGCTCGCCAGAGGTCATCGGTCAGTGCGACCAAAGCAGTCTCAGTGCTGTAGCCGGGCCTGAAACCAGATTGAAAAAGGTCCAGATAATTATATCAAATATAGCCTCCACAAAAAAAAAGAAAAGAGAGACTCTCTTTAATCACTATCAAAATGGAGAAACCTCAGTCACAATTAAACTGTACGCTTATATTGGAAAAGATCTATGAGGCTACTGCAGAAATATGTGCTACAATAAAAAAGTTTACTACAGAATTAAGATCCAGAAATTTCACTTCAAATGTTCAAATGGATGTCCATCTGACTATGGTATAAATCAAAATATATTAGAAGAGGAATCAACAGAGATAAAAGAGGAACTAATTCTATTTTACAAACCTTCCATCTGCAACTTTGAGGAACAGAAGAACCAAAGACTGAGATTTCAAACTACAAAGCAACAACGCTTCAAGGAGGAGAGAAACAGACATCTAATGCAGAGGATGGGATTTCTATTATTTCAAAGGCTACTGCAAGAAACATAGATAGATCTACTGGCTGAAAGGGAAGCGTCCCTATGGAAACCTCCTTGGCACAGGAAAAAAGCCAGAATTAGACTGAAAAGAGAAATTTAAAATTGTGTAATGGATTAAAAGGCAATGTTGGATTTATGGTTTGTTTTAAGGATTATGATTTTAGAGTTAGAAGCAAGAAAAAAATATAAACATATATACATGAGGTTGATTTTTAGAATGGATATTTTAAATAGATTAAGAATACTTTTTGGAATAATAGATATCTTTTGACGAAAATTATGTATTGGAATTGAAAAATTGTTGATTTTTTAGATTGGGGTGGTTTTAATAATTAATGGAGTGTTTTAACTTAGATGATTGTTTTTTGTACAATAACAGATGTGATAAGGTATGATAATCAGTTGGATGAAATTTGAAGTTTGTGTAATGAATTGAAATGAATTAAGGTTTAACATTATTTTTTAACTAAGATAGCTATTGTGTAATGGAAGAAGAAATAAATGAGATTGGTGATAAAAGGAGGGATGAGAGAAATTAAGAACTAGAATACATCTGGAAGGGATACCTGAATTGATAACTTGTTGATTTAAAGTTAAATTTGATTTTGGTAATTGTAAACTGATAAAGTTTTAAAACAGGTTTAGTAGTAATAGAAATTTAATTTAGAAATGGAATATTTTAAACGTATTATGTTATTTGAGGGAAATAGAGAAGAGACAGTGAATGTATTAAGTTGAGTTGTTTATTTATGTTTTTACTTTTGAATGTCTGATTACCCAAACACCACAGTGTGTCCTGAGTACTTTTTCTTAAAAATTAAAAAAACCAATAAAATATTTAAAAAACAACAACACAATCAACAAACCTAGTGGACTAGTTTGGACTCGGATAGTAAAGAAGTAAATTATACTGTAACAAGAGCCTACAGGCTGCCATTTAGAAAAGCATATGCACAAGTTTTAGACTAGTAGAGGATTTCTTTCAAGGAACTTTGGTCTGTTACTACAGTGTTGCATGGAAAAGACAAGAAGAGATATATAAAAGAATTATTTGTTCTTGCTTACTGTAAGAATTATTTGTTCTTGCTGATTTCAGAAATCATGCCTCCAAATACGGAGCTATTATTTACTGAACGAACCAGACTGGATAACTTGGTCTAACACGGTAAGCTACTTTATGTCGTGCGAACTCAATTTAAACTAAACTCAAGTACTGTAAGAAGAACGCGGCCCGACGCTATGACCGCTCCTTCCCCTTACCTCAATGCGCCCACTGCTCCCCGAAAGTGCAGCTCCAGCCGCCGCCACCGCCGCCGCCGCCACCACAGCGGTAGCCGAGCAGGGGGCGTTACCACCGCCGCCGCCTCCGAGGGCCTGGTCGCTCTTCTTGCGCTTGTACTTATCCTTGTACATCTTGTTCCGGTGCCTCTTGCACATCCAAGGCTTGCGCTGCTTCGCCACTTGGGTGGTGGTCTCGTTGCAACCCTCGTACGTGCAGCTTTTACACCCGCCGCCGCCTCCCCCCGACTGGGCGCCGCTCTCATCCTCGTCGTCCAGGTCCTCCAGGCCGCCGGCAGGACTACACGCACCGTCCGCGCCCGTCGCCCCGGCGCCGCCTTCGCTATCTCCTTCGGCGTCGCCCGCAGGCCCCAGCTCATAGAAGAGCATGAGCCCGCCTTGGGCGGACGGCGCCTTGGAGACAGCCTGCGCGGGCTGTACCACCTGTGGCTGCAGCATGGCGCCCACCGCCTCTCCGTCCCCGCCGCAGGGTTGCATCACCAGCAAGGTGAGTGACTGCGGCGGGGATGGAGAAGGGGAGGAGGAGGAGAAAGCGGCGGAGCTGCCGCTGGTATTTCCTGGAGCCTCCGTCCTGCCCGAACGTTTCGCAGCCAGGCCACAAAGGCCACGGCTGCCACAGCAACGGCAACTAAAGACGCGAGTCGTGACAGCTCGCCAGCTAGTACGCAGGCGCAAGAGTGGGCGCACGTCAGCTCCGCTTCTCTTCACCGGAAGCCGGGGGGCGGCGCAAACTCAAAAGTTCGCGCTGAATAGGAGTGTCTGGTTGTCGCGTTGGTGGCTTGGTTGGTTGCGCAAGGCACGCCAGGTGCTGCCGCCTTACTGTATGGCAGGGGTCTTCAAATTTGGCCCTTTTATGACTTGTGGACTTCAACTCCCAGAATTTCTCAGCCAGGAATTCTGGGAGTTGAAGTCCACAAGTCCTAAAAGGGCCAAGTTTGAAAACTACTGCTGTATGGGAAGCTCTGGGAAAGAGCGATTGGCAGACCACCTTCATATTGTTGCCAAGAATTTTTTTCTTACATTTTATCCATAAGCTGTAGGTTTGGCGAAAAACTGCTGCTTAACAGTTTGGCGTAAGTAATGTATGTTCCAGGTATCGTACAGTATTACATCTCAAAGTCCAAATATTCTTTTTAAAAATCCAGGTTTTCAAGAGCTTTTAAATGTCATAAGGGAAGTCCGTGATCTATTTGGGAGGCATCAAACTGTTTCAGACCGCTGTATTGTCTGAAACTGGAATAGCGGAATAGCCAATTGAAACTTTTGATATCACAGTTTGGTACAAATATCTAAGATTTCTGAATTGCTATCCACATCGGAGTAGCTTTTAGATTACTCTGAATCTAATCTTTTTATAAACAGTGAAAGAATGTTGGTAAAGAGGATATCTGCAATGACACTGCAATGAAAAGTTGGATACTCTATAGCTAATGGTCAAAAGAAACCTATTAAGTAAGTTTCTTATGATCCTAAGATGAGACTACTAAATACAATGATATTTACATTGACTGGAGATCTCAGAGAATATAAATTTGATTAATAAAATAAAAATAAATTTTTTTAAAGGGCTGGCTAACAACTTGATAGTACTGGAAGTAGCAATTGTGTGAGGGGACATTTATTATGCTTTTCCCTATTTTATTTAAGATCTAGACCACAGGTGTCAAACTCGCCAGGTCACATGACATGTAGTGACATATTGCATTTTTTTTTTATTGCCAGAGCTGGTGTGGGCGCGGCCTCCATATGATGCAACTGGCCTGCGGGCTGGCAGTTTGACACCCCTGATCTAGACATTTGTCAATATTTAATATAGTAATGTTAATACTTCAATAATTTAATAGGGATCGAGTCAGATGGCATACAAGTAATAAATTATTATTAGATATTGTGATTATTCTGCAATATTCAATAAAAATGACTCAACAGTAAAAAAAAAAACATAAAGACAAATAAGAGCATAAACAGCCACAAAGCAGTAAGTGTACTGGTTGCTGTTCATTTCCCAAAGATCTTCCTGGAATTAAAAGTTTTTAGAAGACCAACAGTGAAAGTGCCACTCTAATCTCAAGCGGGATAGTATTCTCAAAATAGGGGTTGCAACAGAAAAACAATTACAAGCATTCATTCAATGATAGTTCAAAGTTAAGGTGTTGAACAAGGGGGACTTGCAACTGTCTGCAAAGTTGTCTCCACAATCATATAATGATTTGGGGGCTTGGCAATTGGCTTGCAATTATGATGGCTGCAGCATTCTGAAGTCACATAATTGCTATGGGTGACCTTCCCTGCCAGTTTCTCACAAATATAATCAACAGGGAAGGCAGGAGATTGCAGGTCAATCCTGGTCCCTTTGTGGTTTTGCCCTTACACCCTGTGACATTCCCTCATCCTCCATAGCAACTGCCCACAATGCCCACCTGCTCACAGCTCTCAGCCATTTGTCTGGAATTCCTGCCTCTTCCCATGTTGAGGTCCTTGGTTAACAAGTTGTACAGTCTTAAGGTTACATCGGTAACAGACTACCAGGATTGCATCACTAAGTGATACAATTGTATGATATTGCCTTGAAGTCATTGAGACTGTGTTGCCGTCATCGTGTCTTGTACTCACTAAAGTCAAATTGCCATTGTTGTGCCCTACACTCATTGAAGTCAAGTTGCATTTATCATGCATTCCACCCACTGAAGTCAAGCTGCATTTGTCATGCCTTAAAACCATGTCTTTGTTGTGCCTTGAACCTACTGAAGCCAAATTGCCTTCCCAGTGCCTGGAATCTGGGGAGTTGTGGTTACTTTTGTTGGGCTTGCAATGAGCAGTTGCTGTTATCCTGCTTGGAGTTCACTAATTCACCTTGCTGTCATCCTTCTGGAAGTCCCTTGACTCCCCTTGCTGTTGTCTATCTGGAGTTCTTAGTTCACCTTACTGCCATTGCCCTCGGGCCTTAGTCACAGAGTGCGGCTTGTCTTGCTCCCATTGCTTTTGTTACATCCGGTTAGTGTTTTCTGGAGAGGTCACTTAAAATGGAGTCTAAAGACTGCACACACAGAGTTGGGACCTGGGGAATGACTATGGAGTTGGCTGTGTGAAATAAACATACTTAATCCTGCTTGTTCTCTCTCTCTCTCTCTCTCTCTCTCTCTCTCTCTGTGTGTGTGTGTGTGTGTGTTTGTGTGTGTGTGTACTCAAACAGGAAATCAACATTTATTGCTTGCTAGTCCCAATGAGCAAAGGAAAACATAACTTTTATAGATACTCAATTGAGTTTAACATCAATGCTTTTTTACTTCATGGGAAAAGATACACATATCTCTTCAGTAAATCTATAGTTCTTGTTTTAATCATGAAAACCTGTGGGTACATGATATATATCTTATATATATATATAATCTTAATGATAGCACCATATTCTCTATTCAGTCTTCTATTTCTGCTTTACTTTGTTTTTAACTCAGGACTACATTAAATGCAGTTAAATGAAATTCAGTATTGCCAGTTGAGCATGGGGTAGAGCTGGGCTGAAGACATTTTATAGGTCTGAAATAGTTGAGAATATTTGTAGCTCAGGTTGGAGAACAAACCACTGCCAACATTTTATAGGTATCAAATACTGTTTATTAAATTGCTATCAGAAAGCCTCTTAGGTTTACAAAAAACAAAACAAAATTAGATCTCGGTGTATGTATATGAATGCCTGCACTCTTGGAATTGGCTAAGAAATAAACCTATCAAATATTTTTAAAAAGCTATTGTTAATAGCTGAATTCTAGGGCATTGCCTGACACTTATGATGAAAGGAGCTGTAGGACCCCAGTGTCAGCCCGTTGGGCTGTGTTGTTGTTGTTATTATTGTTGTTGTTGAAGAGATAGAACAAGCATTTTTGGGTTTCTCAAAGCAGAAGTGTTGTGGTGTTTATTGTCCTGTGGTCTGTGTTAAGTAAGATTCAACTGTCAGCATCTTTATATGAACTGAAGAAGCACACTTTTATTACTTAGGCAACAAAATATTTACACCAGTCTGGGATTCCTTTCTAAAGCTCTCTTTTCTGTTAGTGGTGATAGTTTGCCAGTATATTGATATTGTGGAGGTAAAACAAGGACAATTTCCTAGAAAAACTACCTTGAGTTCTGGGAAGAAACTCAAATATAACTTGAGCAAATATATTAAGATGTCTTTTTAACATTCTTTTTTTTTTTTATTGAAAATTTTTTAAATTTTACAAAAACAAATCCCCTTCCCATACCCCCCCCAACCCTACCTCACCCCCCCCTTCCCAACCTCCCAAACCCTCCCCTGGACTTCCCAGAGCTGAGTACAGGCTTAATTAAAAAAAAAAAAAACCTTAAAACACTTTTAAAACCTAAACAAGTTTAAATACAATCATCATTCTATATAAACTCCCTCCAAAAACACAAATTTAAACATTACTTTCTTTGAATATCTATATCTATAGTGTAAAATCTAATTTCTCCCTCTTTCTTTATCCTAAAACAAAAAAATAAACATATAAACCTTTGTTATACCATTAAAACTAAATACTCTTAAAAAACTTAAAGTAAATACATATTTCCTTCAATCTTCATAATCTTCTCTCCTATCCAAAAAGAAAAAACTTAAAAAACTTATAAGTCCTAAACAAATCTAAGCACATTTAATTAAACAAATTATTTTCTCTTAAAAATATTAATAATAATATTTAAAAACTAGAAACACTTTTAAATCCTAAACAAATCTAAATACAATCATCATTCTGTATAAACTCCCTCCAAGAACACAAATTTAAACATTACTTTCTTTCCTAAACAAGTCTAAACATTTAATTAAACAAATTATTTTCTCTTAAAAATATTAATAATATTTAAAAACCAAATTTAAGCATACTTAAAACTTGAACAAGTTGTACTCCCTTCAAAACACGAATTTAAACATTACTTAAAATTTAAAACATTAGAATCCCCTCACTAAAATGAACAAATTATAATCCCTTCAAAACACAAATTTAAACAATATTATCATTAAAGATTCAAAACTTAAAACAACAAAATTCCCTTATACGCCTATCCATAATAAACACATTAAACATTTCAATCTTCACCAATAACAAATTCCATCCGTAAGAAACTGCGTCCTTATCAGTCTCAATTATATTAGTATTATTATTAATTATTCACATTCCAGTTTTTTCCATTCTCCATTCTTCCATTTCCATTCTCCATTCTTGTATCGAACTCGTAAGAAATGCTGCAAGTTCTGCCTTAGGAGACTGCTCCAAAATTCCTGAATCTCCCATCGACTCCGAAGCCAATACAGGTAAGGGTTCCTTAAATTCCTCCTTATGTTGATCTTTACAATTGTAAGTTGTACAAGTTATCCTCTGCCCGTTCCTCTCTTGTTGATGCCCCTCAAACTGAGATTTCCCAATTTCCATTTCAGGCAGCAATTCCACCCTTAAAGATTGCTCCAAAGACTTTGTAGGTCTAACATCTCCCAGAGATTCAGAGACCACTGAATATGAAACTTCCTTAACCTTCTTCTGTTGCTGCTTTTCTTTGGAATTGTATGCTACACAAGTTGTCTTCTGCTCCTCAATCTGGACTTGTTGAGACCTAATAGATGGCGATGCACATACCCCCAGGACCGAAGTATAAAAATCTTTTGCTTGAAAAACAGTATTAAGTCTATGACATGTCCCCAGGTAGTTCACCACCATTCCAGTCGGAACATCCCATCTGAATAGAATTTTTCTCTTTTTAAGTTCATTTGCTAGAAAAGCAAACTCCTTTCTTCTTCTTAAAATTTTAGATGGGATCTCCTTAAAAATTATAACATCTTGTGAAGCAATTTGAAATCTCTTCTTATAATAGGCTTGCACAATTTCATTGCGTAAAGATCTTTTACCAAAGTAAATTACCACATCTCTTGGCAGATTCTTCTGTGCTGCCACCACAGAGTTAACCCTAAATAATTTTTCAATTTCACTAAGTATTCCCTCTTTTTCTTTATTCAAAATCAATGCAAAGTCCTTTGCAACCATCTCTTTCAGATCTCCTTGCAAAGACTCTCCCAGGCCTCTAATTCTTAAGGCATATTCCATTTGTCCATATTGAAGCATAAGAATCTCATTTTCCATTTCTTTTTCCATACTTTCAATTTTCCCCTCCATTATGTCCACTTTTTCAGCTACCTCTTCCACATGGGAGTTCACCTTTTCAAGAACAGAAGCAACTCCTTCTAAAACCAGAACAAAATCTTGTCTCAAGATCTTATTATTTTCCTCTAAAATCTTTTTCATTTCTGCCCTAATTTGAATTATAACATCTCCCATCATGTCTTGCAAATCCTTCATAGTTATTAGCTGACCCCCGGAAGAGGGTGAAACTGTTGATTTAGAAGCTGTAGAAATCCCTGGATGCTTTGGAGCCATCTTAAAGAAAAACCTTTAGTCCTTCTTAAAAAATTATAAAAATTCCTTCAAAAATCATAACTCCCTCCAAAGAAGGTCATTATAATAAAAAGAAAAAAGGGAAAAAAAAGGAAGAGAAAAAGAATTAAAAAAAGCTTTACTCCTTCTTAAAAATTGCAAAAAATTAAACAGAAAAAAGTCCTTCAAAAAAGGGTCATTACAATAAAAAGAAGGGAGTTCAAAAAAAAAAAAAAGGGGGGGAATTAAATAGAAAAAGTCCGTTCCAAAAAAAAATACTTAGAGATACCAAAAACAACCATTCCAATCATAAGAAAATAAAAAGGGAAAGGGAAAGGAAAGAAAGAGAAACACCAAAAAGCCTGCCGGTCAGCATTCTAACTTCAGAAAAAAAAAACACCGAGAGATTTGCCGATCGCCATTTTACTTTCCCTTTCAACAAAGAAAAAAAAATAAAAAGAGAGAATAAAAATAGAAGCAAGTCTTAAAACTTAAAATCCAAATAAATCAAAGAAAGCAAAAACTAAATCCTCTACTCAGCTCTGTCCGTTTAAAAAAAAAAACTCACCAGTTCTCTTTAAGCACGGAGGTGTTTGCAGCGGCTCGTTTTGTCCCTGAGGACAAAAACAGCTGGGAAGCGGAGACAAGTCTGAACTCCGTGGGAGCACTCCTTTCACCCCCCCCAAAAAAACTTGGGGGGTGCAAAAGAGGCTCTACCACTATTCAGACACTCTCTACCCCCTCCCTTTGCCCGGGAGGGGGATTTTGAACCGCTGAACAGCTGATGTCTGCTGTTCATAGCGGTTCTTACACTTACCCAGGAGAGACGGCTACAAAGTAGCCGCCATCGCGCGCGCAAAATCCACCGGAAGTCTTTTTAAACATTCTTTACATTAAATAATGAACTTCCATAGAGGTCCTTTATTGACTCTTTCATACGATACATCTGTTATGGGGATATAATATTATCAATACCCTGACATAAGACTGTCTTGAATAAGAATATAATTAAATGAAAATAATATAAAAGAAAAGAGAAGTGGTTGACCAGCAGCAAAGTGGGTGGATTCAATTACAGTGGTGCTGGATGACATCAAAGACCAAATTAGGGACAGATTGTCATGGAGAGAATCTACAGGATGTGGTCAGAATAATTTTTTTGATAGCCCCAGTGACATTTTTTTTAGATTTGTAGGAGAGCAACTGTTATTTCCGCTTCACTAAATATAAATGAGAAGCAATGCATGAGGGAAATCATGACATTTGTAAATAGAGATGAAAACATTTGTGTCTACTGGAGATTTTGATAGAATTTCATTTGCCATATGTTGCTTCCTCTGACAGGATTTGGGGAAGCTGACTAATCTTGCAGCAATTGAAAATAAAAAAAATTACATGATTATAGAGTTTCACAGAAAAGAAGCAGAGCATACCCTTAGAGCAGCAGGAGTATGAAAATAAAAACACTTTCCAAACAACTGCTGAGAATTAGTTTGATATAGACACCAGGCTAGAAACCAGGAAACTGTGAGTTCTAGTCCTGTCTTAAGTAAATCATTAGCTAGATCACTATCTATCACTGAATGTTGTATTCTTATGATTTATGATGATTGTATTTTATGATGATGATCATGATTTATCACTTGTTGCTTGTATGTACCCTGAGAGCTTATGCGCTGGAGACAATTTCCTTGTGTGTCCAATCACACTTGGCCAATAAAGAATTCTATTCTATCAGATGACTTTGGCCCTTTCAGTCTCTCTTATAGCCCTAAAAAGAAGTAAACCACTTCTGAAAATCTTGCTAAGAAAGCTGTAGAGGCTAATTTAAGCATTCATCAAGAGTCAACTGTGGCTCAAAGGCACCAACACATAAAAACCTTTGCTAGAATAGAAGTAGCTTCTGAAAAGCCCCCCAAACGCAGAATTAACAGCATTTGGAATATAATAATGGTAGCACCTTTAGTCAGGGTAAGACGCTTGTGCAGAGTGTGATATAAACTCAGGATTTAATTATTTCATTTATTTAAGATTGTCATCATATACTGAAAGAGCTTCAAAATATTAAGCCAGAACAACAGAATTCTTTGGGTTGGCTCAAGCCACACTGGTAGACTAGACATTACTACCAGCACTACTTTCTTCAAAGTGCTATCAGTCAACTAGATTTGTCATTCTTCTTGTCATTACTCCCTATTTGCCTCTTTTCTTCTCTAATCCAGACAAAGAGTATTTTAGAGCAGGGGTCCCCTAACCCCCGGTCCGTGGACTGGCACCGGGCTGCAGCATGCCAGAAACTGGTCTGTGCAAAAAAGCAAAGCCCCATCTGCAGGATGCAGGCAGTACATGAAACCAACGCCCCCTCCGGTCCTCAGAAAAATTTCTCTCCGTGGAACCGGTCCCTGGTGCTCAAAAGGCTGGGGACCTCTGTTTTAGAGTAATGAGAAAGATGAAATTTGTTGGACTTTGAGAAAGCCCACCTCAAGGAATTCAAAGAAAAATCAGAGAGGATTGCCCCATTTAGAAATGCAAAGGAAGAAAAGAGTTCAAGAGAAAGGGCAAATTGGGGACAATGAAATGATATAAGCATAATCTCAAACTGTTCCAGTGAAAATGACAGTTAAAGAAACAAGTGCAGCTGCATCGGCAGTTCTCTGAGGAGTTAGTTGAGGCTAAAGGAAAATATTTGTAGACAATAGACAGAGAGCTAGGTCAAGGCACACAAAGTCATACAAAGTGAAAGAAAATAGTACAAAATGTTAAAAATTAATGTGTTCACTCTTCCCCAAATGACAAGATATAACCACCAGTCAGAGAACAAATCTATACTAAAATTTAGGAATACCTTCCAACTAAGTAATAAAACTTTTCAGCACCTGAACTGTTTTTTTAATAGTTCTGGTTTCGCATTTGTCATGATACAGCATACTGCCTTACGCAGAGAATGGCTGTAGATGACCTTCAAGGCATTTTATAATTAAAATTGGTTAAACCAGGTTAACCTATTTGCTTTGTCCCTGTCTGTAGACACTGGACTCAAAAGTATAAAGATAGTGTAGTGGAAAGACAATTAACCAAAAGTGGAAAGACAATTAACCAAAAGACTTCTCGGTCTTTGGGGATACTAATAGGAAGGTTTTTCTTATGGTCAATTATTTTATTTTATAGGTTTATATACCTTTCCAATTGCTCCCATTTCAAATGCTTGCATATCCCATCCTTATAGCAAGGTTAAAAATGTACATAACAGTTAAAATTCCACTTCTTCACCAAGGACAACAGAATTCAGTTAAACATAAATACCATAAACCACAGAGGGGAATGTATGTAAGAGCTAGGATCATACAACTCTCAGGGGACAAAGTTCCAAAGAAAGAGGGCACTGATTAAAAACACTGATTTCTGAGGTTTCTGCTAACAACATTCTTTGATTTGACTGCAGGAACAATTTAAGGAAAGTTATCCTGAAGATACCTACCGTAGGTCTTTAGCCATAAAGATTTAAATGTTTGCAATTATTCTTCTTTTTTGTTTTCTTGTAAACAATTAAGCAATCCTCTGCTGTTTTTGAATTTTTCTCACAAGGAGTAGGGAACAAATTATAACAAATTCAATTTTACTTTTAAATGCTGCCAGTATTGTTCTTTTCATTGTTTAACTTTCTTTATAATTTTCCTCCTCACAAGTGGTACTGGCTGTTTCATTTTTGACCAAGAAAGTATTTTCAGTTCATGAAATTGAAAACAAAAACAATGGCATTCATTAACACATTGTTTATTTTAATACATAAAATTTCAGTTGGAATATTGAAGAGATTGGAATTAATACATTCATTTTTAATACATAAAATCTCTAATGGAATATCCCAATGTCATTTGTACAGTGCTAGCTTATAGCAATATATGAAAGTAGGATATAGATTAAGATATAAAAATAATTTTTAAAACTTTGAAGCATCTTCACTAGGATTTTCATCTCAATTGCAAGATTCCAAATGAATTTCTAAATTTATTTCTTTAATTTATATGACTGACCATGTCATATAAATGACTGAAAAACTAACAATTAAAACAGAATAAAAAACAATAAAATAATTAAAGCCCTAAGCAACATAAATAGCATAAAGTAGCAGCAGAGAACAGTCATAACATCCCACACTCCAAATAACCACAAAATGGGCTCATCTGTACTATTAGAGCCCCAGGCTTGATGGCAAAACCAGATTTTTAATGTCTTGCAAAAGGCCAGCAGGGCTGGGTCAAGTCTGATCTCGGAGGGAGGGGGGGGGGTTGATGTTCCAATTAGTCCAATCTATGCTTAAATGTCTCGGTATAAGAAATCAGCTTTGCTCTTTTTATTAGGTAGCTTTTCTGAATGTTCAGCAAAGTCTACTTCTCTGCAGGTTACATCTTGCTCACTGAAGCAACCTAACTCCTACTCTGCTTGCTGAAGCAACAAAGAACAGTGATTTTCCTTTTTTTTTTTTTTATGTGGCAGTCCTTCACATGAGGATATTTACAGGAACTTTCAGGCTTCTTTCTTCTTATTTTCTCCAAGCAAGTATACCCAGATTTTTCAATTGCTCCTCCTGGACTTCCTTACTATCCTTGTCACTCACCTTAGGATCATAGGCATCCAATACAAACTTTAATTAAAAAAGAAGATGCAAACCTTGGCCTTATATACATATACATCAGCACTGAGTGCAAGTACTTAAATCATGGGAAGGGAGTGTTGTGATATGGCTACTTTTGAACCCAACCAAGAACACCTATGCTTACGATACACTCTAGTTCAGCATTTCCAACCTGGGTGCCCTCCAGACCTGTAGATTTCAGTTCCCATAATTCCCCAAGCCAGCATAATCTTTGCTGAGAATTCTGGAAATTGAAGTGACTTATGACCAATCCTCTCACTTGGTCATCCAAGTAGCATCCCCACAGGCACGTGATCAGAATTTGGAAATTTGGCAACTAGCAAACATTTGATAGTTGCAGCATCTCAGGATAGCTATTTACACCCTTCCCAGTCAGCTTCCCACAAGCAAAGTCAATGGGGGAAGCTGGATACACTTAATGACCACATGTTTTACTTAAAACTGCAGTGATTCAATTAACAATTGACAAAAAGATCATAAAATCAAGAGTGACTCTTGCATAGCAACAAATTCTGGTCCCTGTTGTGGTCTAAGTCAAGGACTATCTGTACTGACATGGTTATAGCCATCATGATGACTTTTTTTTTAACATCTCTTCCTGCAGAGATCATTGTCTGAGATATTGTTGGAAATACCAGTTTCACATTAGGTTAGCTTTCCTTCCTTTCCATTCTTTTTTCTTTCTTTCTTTTTTGAAAATAAAATTAAATAGGTCAGTGAGTGTTGATCATCACAGAACATATTGAAAGGGATATTATATTGGGATGCATAATTTAGAAAAGTATGTAATTCTACAAATCCAACAAAGTAAGTCTGAAGTAATTAGTACATATATTAATTATAGTTGTTCCACTAAAATATAAAGATCAGGCAGTGTAGGAAAAATTACAGAAACATGATTATTAACTAGATTTTATAGTAGCTTGCTTTCTTTGTTTCACATTTACAGGAAAATTGTCTTATTTGTATTGCAGAATGGTCTTGCTATGGAATACAAGTAAACATCCTTGAGCTTTGAGATCAGAAATCAGAAGCAGGAAGCCAGATATTCCTACATACAATTTAAATAGTTGTATCTCCTTTAGAGCATAGCCTGTGGTAGCACCCTGTAAAATTTGGGTAATCTTGAAATCCTAAGTAGCATTGAATCATTGGTAGCATTGGTTAGTACTTTGATGGGAGACCACCAAAGATCTCAAAATTATAAGCTGGACTAGGAAGTTGAAAAAAAATCTTGGAACAAGTCAAAGGCAAATAGTTTTTCTAATGTTATTGAGAAAATAACACAGATGTCTCCTTATAATCACTAAGGAGCAGATTGATTTGAGAAAGAATGTACTTTTCATTATCTTCAGAAGCGGCTGGGAAAAACACTACAAAATTCCAAGACTACTAGAGGCAGAGCTCTATATGTGATCTCAAATGGGAAAGTTCAGAAATCGTCTCTTCTCTGACTAACAGTTCTAATCTTGCATGCCTTAGTCTTCCAACCACACTCATAATCTGGACTGAGACTATTCCACGCACAATAGATTTCCTTCCTTGGCTTCTCATGATGAAAGGTTTGAAAAAGCTGATCTCTGGGAAGAAATGCTACAGACTTCTAAATTTGTAAAGGAACTCCCAGCATCACTGGTGTATTCTGGATAGGAGGAGCTCGAGATGATATTTTTCAATCTCTGAAGTGCAATAATTAACAGCAAAAGAAGGAATGCCAAGAGGCTAAGGAAGATTGAAACATAAACATAGACGTTTGACATGCGATTGGAAGGTAAGTCCATGGATGTTGAGAGAGAGGTGGGGTATAGCTCCAAAAAAGTTCCGTTTTCAATATTTGCTATTAATCCCGATGTGGAGTTGAGTTCTGACATTTTAAAAAAAATATTATTAATATGTGTTATTGACCACACAATGGAAAAGACTTAATAGTCAAAAAGAATTTTCTGTAAAACTTGTGGCATTTTGAGCCATTTTAGTAGTGATTAAATCCTTATAGCAGATTTTAACAGCATGTTATGTCTTGGTGCTGTAAAGAGATAAAAATTGGAGACAATGAAGCAATAGCATTTAAATATTAATTTCTATTGACAGTTTCATTCAATATTATATTGAAATGATATATTGTTATATATTTTATATAAATGATAAATTCTATTTCTTGTATATTAAAATGAAAAAACAGACATGGATATTTTGAATACATATTTTATATTTACAACCATGGAAATAATATAGTACATAATAAAGACTGGGAAACTGAGCTGTGCATTCTGCTGTATATCTTGCAATTAACCTACAAAAATTAATTTCTATAATGCTATTAGTACTGGTAATTTTTTGTTAAATATAAATATAGAACTACAAATCAATTAGAACATTTCTTTGAATTTTCTGAGATATTTAAGGATTGTTTTGATCAATTAAATGGTAATTCAATGCACAGGTTTATGATTTCTAACTCCATTTGGAAACTACCTTATTTATTCTTGTTTCAAGCATGATTTTGCTCTTCAAATCTTTGTCTACAACTCTAATCATCATTATTAGAAGGATAGAAACATCATCTCAGGTTGAGAGATACTTAAAGGAAAAATAAATGCATACAGAAACAGAGAGACCCACTGACCACCATGATTAACAAGGTCTTATCAAATTAATATCACTCAGAAAACAGAAAATAACTTTGAATGTCTTTTGCTCTGGTATAACCCCAAGTAAGAACTGTTTTTTTTCTTTCTTTCCAGAGTTGTTTTCATGAAGATAATCTGCATGGAAATAGATGGCTGATCTATAAACATTAAATACAGTATAGAATGTTTTGCTTTTATGTAGAGCAGTGGTTCTCAACCTTTTTACTGCCGTGACCCCCAACCGGTCGTAAGTCGAGGACTACTCAACCGGTCATAAGTCGAGGACTACTCAACTGGTGCAGCACCGTTTGCAGAATGGGACTTTTGGCAGGCTCAGCAGGGCAGAGACAGCCTGGACAATTCCTATTGGCTTTTGAAAGCCAATAGAATTAGACTCTATTCAAGAGAGTCTATTCTATTGGCTTTCAAAAGCCAATAGAATAAAAGGGAGTAGCACAGCTAAGGAAAAGGGGAAAAAAATGGTGGACTGCGTTGTTTGGCGACCCCCGTGAAATGGTCGTTCGACCCCAAATGGGGTCCCGACCCACAGGTTGAGAACCATTGATGTAGAGGGTGTTTTAATCCTCTAAGTGTAAACATTTTAATTTAAGCAAAGGTTTCATATGTAACTGGTTTCTTGCTGCTAAAGCTGGTGAAATGTTGGCTTTCTTTGTGGTTTTTTATAGTTAGGTTTGGGTTGGATTTTTCATAATGCTTTTCATTGTGTTTTTAATTACATTCTCTTTGGTTTCTTTAAGTACCCTGTCCTGGTTTTTAAAAAGCATGTAATGCTTAACAAGAAGTGATAATATTACGCCAAACTTTCATTGGCTATTTTTCATTGAAACTTTGCAGTCAGAGAGGCAAGAAAACATTCACTTGAAAACCCTAATTTTCATTGTTTCATGTTTTGGGACTTGAGAAAATTATAGCTAGTGTAATCTTCTGCTCTTATAAAATAATTTACAATTGGTCCTCACTTAGCAATTGTTTGAACTTACAATAGTGACCAGTCCTCATATTTATGTCAGTTGCAGTGTCCCGTGGTCATGTAATCACCATTTGTGATCTTTGCCAGCTTCCCACAAACAAAATCAGTGGGGAAGTTGGCAGAAAAGTTGCAAATGGCAACTACATCATTGCTTAATGACAGCATGGGATTCCCTTAACATTGGCAAATAGGAACAAAATTTATGTGGTAAAGTGACACAATCACATGACAGCATGTTTTATGACTATGTAACTTAGTAACAGAAATTCTGGTCCAATAGTATCATTAACAAAGGACCACCTGTCCTGCTTCTAAGGGAAAAGAGAAAATATACTGCAAATAACCTTATTTTCCACACCAAGTGTGCAAAACAATAGAATAGTAAGATACAAAGTAGAGAAGTATTGCTGGAGGCAATGCAAAAGACCATTTAAGCATGGTATGGATACACTTTGGGAGCAAATGTGACATACCACTCCATGATTATTCTGCCACTCTAAAATGCTGTTCCTAGTGCTAGGTAAAATTATTTGTATTCACCCAGGCCTGTTAATATGTTTACGTGTTTATTTTAAGTATGCATATTTGCCTAGGAACTTTTTAATTTCTTTGGCTGCTTTTATTGTTTATTCGATAGTATTATTTTATTTAGTGTATTAACATTATTCAGACCAAAGCAATATTTGATTTTACTGTACTGTAAGTTGAAAGATCTATGCCTATTTAATACTGGAGAAACAAAACTGAAAGAAGAATATGATCTCTTTATAAATACCAGAAAGGATGTAAACACAAAAGAAAATTAAGACTTCAGAGTATAATATAGGGAATGATTTATTCTACAGATTGCAGCTGAATGTTAGAAAAACTTTCCTAATAGCAAACAGTTTGAGCTGCAATTTAAAGGTAGTTGACCATCTAAGACAGGGCTTTTCAACCTTTTCACCCATCATACCACTTTTAGGATATGGCAACATTCAAGTATCACCAGTCGCCTAGCAAGGTGTCAAAAACTTGATGACCAAAAAAAAAAAAAGGAAAAAAAGAAAAAAGTGATAAAGTACGGGTAGTCCTTGACTTACAACAGTTCGCTTAGTGACTGCTTGAAATTACAATGGCACTGGAAAAAGTGCCCCCCCAAGCCACAGCCGAGCAAGACAGCGCCCAGAGGCACTCTGCCTCCTCTCCAAGGTTTTCATTGTTGGGAGCATTTCTGTTGAGGATTGGCAGCGGGGGTGGGGTGGGGGTGTTTGGTTTTTATTCCCCCCATCTGCTGGATGGTTGCAGCAGATTTTGGTCACTTCACATGACCCTGGGACACTGTGACCGTCATAAATATGAATCAGTTGCTATGCATCTGAATGTAAATCACAAGACCCTGGAGATGCTGCAACATTCCAGCTGATCGGCGCTTCTTCTGGGCTCAGCAGAAGTGTCAGGATCAGTGCTGCTTTCCAGCTGATTGGTGCTTCTTCAGGGCTCAGCAGAAGCACCAGGATCAGCGCTGAGCTCCAGCTGGAGCCTGGTGCTGATCCTGGCACTTCTACTGAGCCCTGACAGCCCCAAAGAAGTGCTGATCAGCTGGAAAGTGGCATTGATCCTGGCACTTCCACTGAGCCCTGACAGCCCTGCAGCTCCAGCCATCTTTCGCTCAGGCTTGTGCGGTGCTGCCACCGGTTCAGCTCATTCCCCTCCCCCGCTACCACTTTTCTAGGATGGTTGCGTACCACCTGCCAGGTGCCAATGTACCACAGGTGGTACCCATACCACTGTTTGAAAAGCCCTGATCTAAGACAGCAGGCATGGGAAACACTGCATTTGGAACATAAGTAAGGATATGGTATCACTGACTTACCATATGAAATTCTGGATTGGTTGGAGCATGCTTCTGTATCTGTTACTGTTTGTTTATCCAATTTTCCGATCAGCAAACAAAGTAATACAATAGTTCTCCTTGTGTTGTACTAGTTGATACTACTTCACATCTACTTGGTAATGTTTTGCTTTATTTTGCTTTCTCTTTGCAATAACACAGGAGGCTAACTAAAACATTTACATTCAACTATCCTTTGAATTACATATATTTGAATACCTATATATTAAGGCATAATTGAGCAAATATATTCAAAGAATGCAGGTGAAACTGAACTAATTTAATATAGCTAAAGAGGATGAGTAGCTATTAAGAGTTAGATATGACCTAGAGATGAGAATCTGAAATAGGTTTCTGATGGGATCATGTCACTTTTCTACAACTGTAATAAATTGCATATTCATTCAGATAACCTTATCTGCACAGTGACATAAATTCTCTTACATTTTCAGTCTCTATCTGCATAATTTAATTCTCTCTATTTATCCTCCTGTTTCTATGGAAACACAATTTACAACTTATTGATTTGAAAATCTCTGCACAAATTGTGTACTGAAATATACTGTACTTCAGTACACAATTTGTGGACAAGCTTTGCAAATCAGTAAGTTGTAACTTGTGTTTAGGACTTTCCCTAGAAAATAAGTTCTTAGTGCCATTTGTTATACCATCAAGTGTTGCTCTATCACCTTCCAATCAGGATCAGACTAAAATCTGATGAATCTAGTAGAGAATTCTGTCAGTATTTCTTACATCTACAAAAGTATTCTAACACTTTTCATTCTTTCTTCTAATTGTTAAAACTGCTTAATTGCATTTTGGAGCAAATCTGCATTAATATCAAGTAACTTTGGTCCTCCAGGATAAGCTTTTTTTTAAAACAAATTAAGTAATGAATCTAGGAACACTCCAAGCTGTACGATCTTACATTGTAATAGATAGCTCTAGCAATCCCAGTGGTGGTATTTCCTCTAAGCAGAATTGCATGTGCCAATTCAATGTTCAATCTAAGTTTTAGTAGATCCCAAATTATATAGTCCACCTTTAAATAGTTAATAGCAGAACAGATTTTCCAATGAGGTGGTGGGATCTATTTCATTGGTTACGTTTAAGAAAAATCTAGCCAGACATCTGTTCTGGCATACAATCAAGAACTGAACATTAGTCTAAATGATTCCTTACAATCCCTGGTTTTACAACTACATGAAATAAAATTCCTCATTTTCTTTCTAACTTAATAAATTCAGAAAGGAACAGTGGCTATTTGAGTTTTACATAAATTTTTAACTTCTCTATTTAAGAAGTGCCAGTGGCCTGATAGACATTTGCAAAATTTGCACAACAGCTACTATAAATTTTTAATTAACTTTGGGAATTTAGCAACACAGATGAAGAGAGTCTCTGTGTGAGTTTTGAACAATGTATATATTTATCCTTTTAGCAATTTTAAAGTATTCAGTAAACAAAAGGTATAAATTCATGAATTTTTAATGAAAATTAGGGACATCTTCTGATTTTACTGTAATGAGAAC